CAAATAAAATTTTTCACTATATATTTTTATTTTCAATATTTAATATTATTTTTCCATTAAAATTTCAATTTATAAAATAAAATAAAAATATCATTAAAATCTTCATTTATAAATAATCTTCCTCAATTTAAAAATCTAAAAAATACCACTTAAGAAAATCCATCCATCAAAATATTTTAGTTTTTCTTTCAATTCTATTTCAAATATATTTTAATTATCCATTCGGGGATTTCATCAATTATTAGATTTAGGAAATAATTACGAAATTTATTTAAAATCAATTTTAAAAATTAATTCCCATTCGATTTTTTAAACATATTTTCAAAAAAATAAATATTTTGTTAAATTAATTAATTATTCTCAATATATTGGTTTCTAGGTTTTCAAATTAATTTTAAATTATTTTAAAATAATTTCATAATAAATTTTAATAAACAAATTAGTTGTAAACAGAAATTTTAATTAATTATATCTAAATATATATATATATTATTGGATATAAAAATAATTATATTTGAAATAATTTGATAAAGATTCAAAAATTATTCGTTAATATCTTATTGATATTTCTGGGGTATTTCACGAATAATTTGTTCATTATCGATAATCATAATAATTATCGAATTATTCTATTTATCTAGCTATTTTATGTACCTATCTACCTACCTATCTGCATATCTGCCTATCTCCCTCTCTGTCTCTCTACCCATCTCCCTCTCTGCTTCTCTACCTATCCATTTATTATATCTCTAATCCTATCTATATATTTATCCATGCATCCATTCATCTATCTATCGATCTATCTATCTGTGCAAGTTCCCATTCAATCAACAGTAAACTGATTAAGAACCAAAATGCAAAAATAAAAAACATAAAGCCGAGAAAAAATCAGAACTGACGCCTTCTCCGCTTTTTTCCGAGTTGATCCTGTCAACTTGGCCGCTGCCCGGGTACAACACGATGTCCGCAACTTTGCTGACGGCGCAACGCAAAAACGGGAGGCGGAAAGGTTGTAGGCTGGGTATCGGCGCACAGCCCAGGCTGGGGCGATGATGTGCTAGTCATTTGATCCAACTTTGGGGTTTGGATGGAGATTAGGCAACGCAAGAGAAAAACCACCAATCAGTCACTTTGTTATATCAGTTTCCATTCCCAATATCAGCGCGTTGCCTCAATTATGATGGATTCTTGCTTGTAGTTTCACTGAAGCTGGGGAAGTTCCAGCCTGTAGCCATCAAGATTACCTCTGCAGCCAGGCCCGGCACTTCCGGCTATCATTGGCTGCCAGGGTGAAAATGCGAATCCACTGCCAAGTCGAGGCCAAATCGACCCCAGTGGAAGAAAAGCAGCTGAAATTCATCGCTGGGACCCTACGACATGTTTCCCCAAAGAATAACACTGGTAGCATCATATACTTATCTTTATCCATCATGGTAGTGTTCATCTGCAGTTAAGCCAGGAATAGCATGAGCCTGTGTGAACCCGGAGAACTCTGACTGAGACGCCTCCGGGCCCACGCCACTCTTAGAAAAATCAGCCCTGCTTCTACAAGTATCAACGTATTTGAAAAGGGTATGGTCATGTTAACCGTCCGTCTTCAATTGTTTCAGTTCTGTTTGGATGAGTAGCTTCTCGTTCTTTTTGCGCATATCATGTCCTATTCCTGATTTCGATCCAAAAATTGTTGGTCACACCCCTGACATTTTTTGTGCCCAAACCACAATAAATCCATATCAATCCGCTACCCTTCAAAAATTTTCATCATGCGGCTGAAGTTTGAAATTTTGACACGCTGCAAAACGGGAAAAGCATCAACCGAGCATTCCTTTGCATCATTGCGGCTGAAGATTGGCATATCCCATCAACATACTTGACCTATTGAGCGGCCCAAGGCTTACCCCACTCATCATTGAGGTTCCCCTAGATCGCAGGGTCCGCTAGGGAAGGGGTCCGAGCCGAAAGGAGCACCTGGTGAGACTAGATGACTAGACGGCTGCAATTCTGTGTTGGTTAGGGGGCGCTTGCAAGATGATCTCAAGAAACACCTCCAGGAACTCCTGGTTCTTCATACTAACGAGGTAAACCTGGAATTTCTTTTGATTCGATGCCAATGAGATTCTTTGGTGTGCTCTATGGAAATATGCCATGCGCCCTGCCCCCCCCATCTAATCCATCCATGTCTCACCACGGGCTCCATGGCATGGGAACTCACCTTCTTTTTCGACGCTTATATGTCAAAGCTCTCCTGGTCAAAGTCCTTGGGGGGGGAGTGCTCGTCCAGGATTCCACTTTCCTTGAGCGCTGAGGTGGCTGAGGTGGGAAAATCTGAGCCAAAGATGTGGTCCACCTTGGCTATGTTTGAGGAATCAAGGCTGCCTTTTAAAGTCTCAAGCCTCACATCTTGAAGATCCAGTCCAGTCATCTTTAAAAATAAAACTAACTATATGGGGCCAGTTGAAATCCCAAGCCCATGAAGAGAGTGATCAGTCATAGTTCACTTTCCATGAATCGCTTCGATCTCTCTTGATGGCATGCCCTGGCTCTACCTTTCATCAAGGGCCCCAAGCTTTAGGTGAGCGCTATCTGCCCCAGCGGATGCTTCCAACATCATTTGGGAAGGCCATGGAATGCATTGGAGAACATCATGCCCAGCTTGACTACACGCCAAATTGGATCTCAGTTGCGCTCGTGGTCAGCTTCAATCTTGATTTGGCCCTCACATATCTTGGCACCTGGACAGCTGAGGACAGTATACGACAGGTGGTTTTCGAGTATATTCAAGCAGCAAACAATGATGTATGCTAGTTCATCTTAACCTGACATAGCACAACATCATCTATGTTAGGAGAAGTCAACATTACATACCGAGCATAAATTACATTAGATGAAGTCACCTTTCAGTAGCACGGCATCACCTGCACCTTACAAGCATCGTCAAGTAACATTGCACATTCTATAAATGCAAATGCTATTAAACGTTATTGCACCCCCAACCCCTTAGAAAATTGTGTCTTCCTATGGGGTCGCTAACAGTGCCCCTCGCAAAACAAGGGTCCCAATGCTCAAACCCAGGGCCTGTGTCAAGTGTCCATTCTGCGGACTCTTGTTAGATTGCCAGGGGATGAAAGAGGAGACCTCACTCCACGACCATGTGGCATGGTAAGCCTGCATGCCCAATAGAATTCATACTGCCTAATCTATCTTTGCTACTTGAGGCTTGAAAGGGCCGGAAACATGGTTTCCACATAGTTACCCTTTCCAGGGGTAATCTCCACGCACGCACGCACACACACTCACACACACACACACATATATATATAAACATGTACATGCATGTATACATTCATACAAACATAATACGGGTAATTATATGATATAATATTCTTTCGCAAGAAACAGCCTAAGCAGCGTCTAACATTTCCAAACCCTATTGAACAACACCAAGACTCAAGTGGAAAGGTTGACATCATTTTTTGAATAAGAAATTGTGGCAGTGTTACAATCCAATTTTCAACTGGCGATCCATATAGTCGCAGCATGCTGCCTATCACGGCACCGCATTTTTTAAGCTATGATATTGCCCACCCCGGTTTAGTTGAATATCGGGGTGTTGCCCCGCCCCATTTTCATACAATCTACACTTACACTTTAATAGCGGTTGCCAAAGGATTACATTTATTGCAACATTCCTGCCCACAAACGCAAAGGGTTTCAGGGACAACGGTCACCTAAGATCTGAAGCTCTTCCAGTATGGTGCCCGATACGACATGGACCCGTCAAGAAAGTCATTGGAGGATGATTTATGCTCGGCAACTATAGTTTTTTTTTTCCAATGTTTGATTTCGGGTTAGGAACATGATGTAAGTGATTTTGTCACTGAAAGCATTCCAATTTTTCAGGATCCATGTGGAGGTTTCCTAAAAATAGGGGTACCATTTTAATCATCCATTTATAGATGGATTTTTCCCTGAAATAAACCCTCCAGCTATTGGGGATCGACTTGGGGACATTCTCCCACTGAAGCCACGCAGCGTTACTGGTGACAGTCTGGAGGTCATCCGTATCTCCGGCCTGTGGCTGCACAACTGCATGCTTTCTACCGGTATTTTTTGTCTTCCCACCTGAACAGTACTCTTACATATTCGGTTTTATCGAATGAGCCGATGGACAGGTTGACGTTTCTTCCAGTACATTATATTGCATTGCATTACATTACGTTACATACATACAAACATACGTGTGTGCACATATGTCCAAACACAATATGTCTAAATGACTAGAACCGACCAACGGGCAGGAGTTCGTGAAAAACCTGGTCTTGGCCGAGGGGCCAATTCGACGTGGAGCAAATCTGTCATCCTCGCGCTGACCTCGTGGAAGCTTGGATGGGTTGAGGGGAGGAATCTATGGCAACGTCATGGTGATGCAGTTACGTATATATATATATAAATATGTTGTTAGTTGTTATATATGTTACAACTCACCGAACGCAAAATAGATTTTCCCTAAGATTCCTCTTGCTGCTTTCAATCCACGCCAAACATCTTGGCCAAGTGGGTTCATGATTCAAAACAAGGATGCGCAGGAGAAAGATTTGACACCACCAGCCAGCCGGTCTTAGCGGCAACCGAAAACTGGTCTGGAAACAGGACAAATAGCAGCAGCTAGAGGTGAGTTGTGAGGCAGGCGAAGCAAATTTCATCGACATCCGTAGGTACCATCTTGACACCCTGGCCCTCCAAAACAGTAAAATGGGGGGCTTCCACCATAGACTTCTTCTGCATGGCGAGCACATTGCAGTCCCGCCCAAGGAATTTCCAAGAGACAGAGATCTTCATGTCCAAGTCAGTCCTTGCCAATTTTCATTGATGAAACCACAGGGGCAAGCGCAGCATCACGCAAATAAACAAATAAATAAATGGATAAAACTATATATATATATATAAACTAAATAAATAAATAAATAAATAAAACATAAATAAATAAATAAATAACACATATTTTAATATATATATAAGTGCAACAAAGTGACAGCTCTGGGGAAAAATCAGCTGGGAAGGCTCATGTTTTTGCTGTGTTTGTACATCTTCACCATATCTTTTCTGCTATATGCCCCAAACAGTGTGGGCCTAAGCGCCTAACGCCCTTGCGAGAACTTGGAATTTTCTTCGCCGCGCCTTCCCATGGCAAATCCTCTGCTATCATGTTAGCCGGCATCCATCAGACCCTTCAATCCTCCATTTAATGAGGCCAATGCCTGCAGATTTCTGACTTTGACCCAAGTAGTTATAGTAAATTGCTCTTGTGAAAGTAAGAATTCACCTTAAAAACACATGGTTTTTAGTATTGGAACTATCAAATTTTGATTCCTATATAGGATATATAGGTAGGTGTAACTCTGGAAGGGGCGGCCAATCAGCAAACTAAGTACCAATTCTTGGTTGATTCAACTCTTGCTGGTTTGTTATAAGGAGCGTATATTCATGACCAGGGGGAACGGGCAATCTCATATTCCATAGCATTCTGGCATGGCATGTTAAAACCCAAATCTGCAAGTAAGACTCGCCCGTTGATGCTCACAGTAACCCACCACCCTCTAGCAATCTAACCTAGCGGAAAATGGTCCTTTGTAGATTCACCAAACATGCTGGTGTTCCTTTGTAGAATTCATGATATATCCGGGATCCGGGATGAGTTTTCAGCAGGCTACAGGTGATGATCTTTCTCCAAGTAGAGTTCATGGAGCTGGGCCAGGAACTGGAGTCCGTACATCCTGCGAAAACGCTGCTCCCGGTGCCGATATGGGAAGTTACGCCATGGTCAAACTTGATCTTCATGACATGCCAATATACAAATCACGAAACTATACTTCAAAATGATAATGAAATAAAGCAAAAGCTTTACATATACACTCTTTATACACACGCATGCCTTTGATACATATCGCCAAACAGGTGTGCATGAAGAAGTTGGACTCATCTTGGATCACACCGCATGGTGCCTCTCCCCAGGCTACAAGTTCATGTCCTGCAGGTGTGTTTGTTCACCAGGCCCCCAAAAAACGTGACACATGATACACATCTTTTGGCTGCTGGTAGCTCGGCGTGTCTCAGCATGTTCAAGTCCCCGGATCTTGAACACGCGTCAAGTGCATCGAATTCAGGATGATCAAGTCAGAGTGTGGGCGCAGAAATGTTTCATCAATATACTCCCTTTAGATTGCGAATATACTATGGACCACTAAACTGATTAAACTGATGGCTTTTCCAAAACAGCATAACAAGATAGTGTTGGAACACGGGGCCCTGACACCTTTCGAAACTTTTTAAAGCAGCTCTGCCGTATTTTCAGCTTTCAGCTCCGTCACGCGGATGGAATCGGTCAATCTTGCTCCAAGAGTGCTAGCTCCACATGGGTCAAGGAACCAGATTTGTCACGAAAGGCACGGTACAGCAAGCCTCAAAGGCATTCCAGGCACCATTGGCACAGACTCAAAATTCAGCTGCTGGCTTTATTTATGCTCACCTCCGAGATTCTAAAGAGGGTGTCAGTCCACTTCCACCACTTCCATGCTTGTTTTAGGTTGGGATAGGTCCGCCGTATGGGCCACCATGCGCTTCACCCCACGGATCTCCATGTCACCCGGGCCCCACAGATTTCTCCCCCAAAAAGCATGGCATGAAAGCAGAAAAATGATGAAACATGTCACTGCCGAAGCACCCTTCCCTTCATTGCGGGCATAGCGAGGAGAGCCAACTTCATGGACTCCTTGATGATAACATTTTGTCGGCGACCCACTTGTTTGTGCAACGTCCTCATTCGACCATACCTCAGCTCTGAAAGCCCTCCCCTTCACTGACCCTAAGCGAGCACACACGCCAACCCATCTGAACTCCAAATGTCATTGATGTACCAAATGGCGTGCAATTGGCTCAACAGTTGCAATATTGGAATGATGTATTTGTTGGCCTTGGCCCGTACCGGAAACCTTCAGTACCCATTCCACCATTCACAACGAACCGCGATTTCAAGCGGGAAAACCCTTGAGACAGGCTCTATCACCGCCCAAATCAGGAATACAATGCGGACACAAAAACAAACACCCACCCATGCACGCAGGCACAAACGCAGGCAGGTCCGCACGCACGCACGCGCAAACGCAGGCACGCAGGCATGCAAGCATGCAGGCACGCAGGCAGGCAAGCATGCAGGCACGCAGGCAGGCACGCAGGCAGGCACGCAGGCAGGCAAGCAGGCACGCACGCACACACGCATCACGCAAAAACACGCAAAAACAGCAAAACACGCACGCGTGCTTTGGCATGCTCCACTCATAGGTGCTACACTGAACACGACAAGCATGTGTCAGCAAGGCACCTTTTATCCTTTGTTTGCTCTTCTTGTTTTGTCTTCCTCTATCTTCCCTTCAGCGATGATGCTATCAACTGCGATCTGGGGATGTCTGGCATAGAGACCATAAGATCATAAGAATGATTGATTTCATTCTGGCCATATCCAAACCATGATATGCGATATTGCGGACCAAAGCACTCCAGGAACTCCAGACCACGAATCAAGTGTCACACGTCGCTGTCGCTGGGTATCGTTACACTGTTAAGCGTGTACAATGGACCTTGGCACACTTCAAAGGCTTCAGAAATTTCCGGAGCTGCAATTGATTCGAGTTCCGAAGAGTCTGCTGGTTTGGAGACGGAACTAAGATGAACTAAGCCCACTTTGGTCCAGCCTGTGATATAAAATATCATTGACACTGCAATGGATCATCCATCTAGGCTGAAAAAAAAGGTCCCCGAGCCCACTTCCTTTGGAACTTTCATGAATTCTAGCACAGCCCGTTTCATCTAGTTTCCAAATATACATTCCCGGGCTTAGATGACTTCAAAAAAATCCTGGTTACTAGTTAATACATATCCTTATATATATCCCCTATAGCAACCATCCAAGGTTTTCCATGTACTAGTATCAACCACATGTAAGCTCTCCCTTCCGAATTTGCAGGTTTTCGAATAGCCATGCAGCACAGTGACACTGACCTTCCTTGACACATCCAAAGGGCCACCGAATCACTGTGTGAAATCTTGCTCCCGACGGTGCAAAGGCCGCCATGCCGCATAGGAATTTGGATGAATTTGGCGCAGAAGCCACAAGTGGCTTCTTTTTTGTGCCGGGCTCACTTCAACATGTCTACATCTTGAGATTTGGTTACAAACCCCCAGCCCAACCCCAAAAGTAGTCATTTGGGATAAGAATCCTCAAAATCATGAAGTGGCATGAGCAAGAACAACAAATTGCATAACATACGTACATATGTGAAAATGATACATGCATAGATTCTATATATACACGCACATATGCTTGCAAGTATCAGCCCACCAAGTTTTTTGACCTGCTCATGTGCCACTTGCAGGCTTTCATTTCATGCGACTTCACACGTTTTCATGGGATTTTCCTCTGCGGCCTCTTTTTGGCTGGCACCCTTATCAGCCGCAACGGGCCTCATGAAGGACAAGTGCTTCGGATACTCGGAAACCACCTGTGCAGGCAACAGATAGACGACTCCGAAGTGTTTGATGAGAACACATGGTAGCATGCATTTACGTACGCAATATATACGTTGCACATGTCATTCAACACGTCTGCCACCACCAACATTCTACACGTCTGCCAACACCAAGGTGTCTGTGAAAGCCACCGGCTGGGTAATTGGGTTTGCATGCCTGTACGTCTGTGTGCATGATGCATGTATGTTTAGATGGTGCGCAGTGCCATTTCAATCCATCTCACATCGCGAAAAACTTTGCATCCATCCCTACGTGTGCTGCTTGAATCTTCAGAATTTTGTGATCTGTCACTTTCTGGTTAAATTTGGAGAGCAAGGCCAACTGTTTGCTGGTTGGCTTTTTGCAAATAAACTAAATAGGTTGCTGGTACGGGGGTCATCATGTGGACGGAAATTGAGCAACAGTGAGGACTGCATGTCTACTTACTTCATGAGTTTAGGAATTCCATCAAACAAATTAGGTTTCGACGAACAAAACCAACTATTCGACCAGGAGGAAGGAGGCTTAACTACGTATGTTACAAATAATAATAACAATAATAACAATAGTAATAATAGTAATAATAATAACAATAATAATAAGACTAATTAAAAACATATATTTAAACAGCACTTTTGATTGGAACCAAAGACAGGGCCCCGAAGGCCCTACAGATTCCGGCAGTTGCTAGGTGGCATATGAACTGTCTTTGCAGCGTGTTGCATGCGATTCGACAGTGAACATGTTCATCATTTTGTTAGCCTCTGTTACGTTTGTCATGTGGGGTGGATGCCCACATTAAGCATATCAAGATACATGGAGAATTGATTTCATGGTGTTGGACTGGAAGAAACTATTTTTTTTGAACCTAAGTCGAACTAAGATTGGACCTCCCGGAACTTCTCACTTTGAAGTTCAATCAGCTCGCTCTCAGTCCTCGATTGTGGGGTGCAGCTCAGATGGTCGCATCAGCTGACCATGGGCGAAATAGGATGAACTAGGCTGAATCTGGCTGGAAACATGGACAACATGGGAAAACATCATGTTTGAAACCTCTTACGCCATATGTCGAACTAAATCATGATTGTGACATGGAGGCTGGCATTACGTCGGGGCCATGGGGGCACTGCGGGAACAAAATATAGATGTGTATCAACAAAAACATCAGCATTGACAAACATATCTCAAGAATTCTCAACATGTGTAAATATTAAATATATACATTTGTAGATGTATATATATATATAATATATATAATATCGTGTCCCTAAGAATCATCAAAATCCAAACGTCAAATATGAAGCCCTCCAAGCCAACCTGCGCCCATCTCGGTGCCCGTCCTGGCCCTCAATCGTCCCTGGTTGACCCACGGAGTCCATAGCACCACCTCGCAAAACCACCTGGGCAGATTTTGCGACCAGAAATGCATCGCTATATCAGTAACTAGAATACACAACATATTTATAAATGTAAGTAGTTACCATCTATATCCATCTATGACATGTAAAAAATGCAAATATCTATAAACAAATAAATATATATAAATATATATGTGTGTGTGAAGAATGCAAATCATATACTACAATATACATACCTAGAGAATATGTTTATGTAAAATTAAATATCTGTATATAGAAAAAAGCACACACACACACACGTGTATGTATATATATATATTATTTTTATTTTTATTTGGGTAAATTGACAATATAACAAGAGGTATACAACTGGGGGTTGCCCGGTTTTCGTGACATAAAATCTTTCGAGAAACCTTCGCAAACTCCAAGTTTATCTTTCGCGGGGCCCATGGGGGCAACAATACCTTCTATGAAGATTCAGTCACACCCCCGGGATTATTGTAGCAGTGTAAACATGCAACTAGCATCGCGGAATCCTTTCTCACGACAGATTGCTGATCATCGGGTTTACATTTTGAAGGCTTATTGGCTACCCCTTCAAAATTACTTTCACGAACTCGAAAAATACTGCTGCGACGGACGGTTCGAGAACATGACATGATCGAAATCAAACTTCTTGGATCAAACATGATCAAGCCCTTTATCTACACCTAACCTTTGGATCAAGCCCGTTAAACCTATAATCACCTAAGATACACCTATACAATCCTATATGAGCCTTTATGCACATAGTCATATGCACATGGGGACCGCAATTCGCTGGCTGCTCTCTGCCGAGCAGCTCATTGGCTGCGACGTTCTCAAGCTCCCTGGTCTCGTGCTGCAAGTAGTCCAAACTACCTCAGCCACTGGTCTTGAGGCATACCGCAATGAAATCACATGACACGTGACCTCACATGCCATGGTTATATCCCGTGGCATATGGTGGCTCTGATTGTAATCATCTAGAAAAACTGGTGACCTGGGATCATCATAGCTGGGCCCACAAGGCTCCCTTCTCAGCCAAGCTGCCAGTGTGCAAGATATACCTTGGCGCTATCATGGGGCTCCCAACTCGACAGAATGAATTGGACATTCCCCCAGTCCCAAGGGGCGAACATATTTTTATTATGTTTCTCAAGAGGTTTTCAATCCTTTTCAGTTTTCTTCTACTCTGCTCCATAAGCTAGATTACTAGATCATGTTGTAGGCATTGTGGTCCCTTGGGCCCAGGACAAGAGTAGCAGTTCACAAGAATGAAAGGTTCAATGCCTGGAGCACCAGTGTCCCAAACCCATCCATGGTGGACCTTCCTATCCGCCCTATCCAGGCCCTATCCTGGCCAGCTCGGTGAATTTTACTCTACTTGTGCTGGGACTGCCAGGTCCAGCTCAAGCCCCCAGATCCGATCGCCATATCATGACCAGATGCATGCTTTTGCCTTCCTCCCCAGCAGAGAAAAGGATGTCAGCTCGAGAAAGCAAAATTTGATTCGGAACTTTGAAGCACACCTCATGGCATCAATCAGTCACTGACACAGGCTTTTTCAGGCCTGATGATTCTGTTTCAACATGTTTCATGCCGTGAGAGTTCCAGCAGCATGCGCTGAGTTCTGGTGGGTCTTACCCATCAGCACCAGTCAGTGGTCTGATATGTGGATTAAACCCTAGCAAGAACAGCTTTCAGATCATGGAACTCTCTGCCCTGTGGACATGAGTCTAATCGGGACAGCAGTCGGTACTGCTATCTTTATGGGTTGTTGTCCAGGCACAAGCCCATGAATGCCAAATGCAAAATCTATAGCCAAAAATGCATAATAAAAATGCATACTTACAGGCTGCAAATGTCAGAAATGCATATGTTCAAAACTTTCCACAAGGGGTTTAATTTTTGCTGATTACTCTAGATGCATGTGGGCCACCGTAGTTACACCCGCCAACTGCGCAGCCATAAAAGTATCCCCGACATGCAAGTCACAAAATTGATCAAGCGGTTTTTGCACAAACATAATGCATCCAGACTGCTTGCTCTCAAGCATGGTATATACTATATATACGTGTTCAACGACACATGAAGATGCCCCAGAAACTTGCAATCGCATCCTGCGCCCCTGCCATACTGAGTTGTCTCTGCCCACAAGTCAAAACCCCCTAAGTCTGGATAGAACTGAGACCATGGAGATCCATGTCTTTTAGTGTTCCAGAATATGGAACACTTGGCTCAAGTTGAGACTGCAAAGCGGGTATTAGGATCTGTTGCCAAACTTGTTGAGTGACATTCAAATGGCGCAAAGAAAAAAAATCGCCACAGGACAGCTTTTGGGGAGACCGTGCAGATCAGGAAAGTTGGCCTGCCAGATCCATTATGCATTTTTGAACGGCCGTAAAAATAGCACGCAAAAAATATGCATTTTCAATATGCGTTTTTGATAGCACGCAAAAAATATGCATTTTCAATATGAAATATTTATTTTCTGCAGCCAGCCGAAAAGCAAAAAAATATGCATTTTCCCATGGAAAAATGCATATTTCTCAAAAATCTTGGAACCATCAAAAATGCATAATTCCATGAAAACCTTAGTTTTTGGACAAAATCAACGAAATATGAAATATGCATTTTCTGCAGCCAGCCGAAAAGCAAAAAACATATGCATTTTCCCATGGAAAAATGCATATTTTTGAAAAATCTTGGAGCCATCAAAAATGCATAATTCCATGAAAACCTTGGTTTTTGGACAAAATCAACGAAATATGAAATATGCATTTTCTGCAGCCAGCCGAAAAGCAAAAAAATATGCATTTTCCCATGGAAAAATGCATATTTCTCAAAAATCTTGGAACCATCAAAAATGCATAATTCCATGAAAACCTTAGTTTTTGGACAAAATCAACGAAATATGAAATATGCATTTTCTGCAGCCAGCCGAAAAGCAAAAAACATATGCATTTTCCCATGGAAAAATGCATATTTCTGAAAAATCTTGGAGCCATCAAAAATGCATATTGAAAATGCATATTTTTTGCGTGCTATCAAAAACGCATATTGAAAATGCATACTTTTTGCGTGCTATTTTTACGGCCGTTCAAAAATGCATAATGGATCTGGCAGGCCAACTTTCCTGATCTGCACGGTCTCCCCAAAAGCCGTCCGGGGGTGATCTTTTGACCTATGTATTCTTAATTTTCAGCATGCGCACCATGATGCAAAGACTTTCTGAGTCCAAAAACTGCCAGGGAACATCACACAAACATCAAAGTCTGGATTGAAATAATGTGATTGAAACACGATTTCCATTTTTTGACCTGGTGCTGACGCGCAACTAACGAGTAGCACAACTGAACAATCCTAAATGATATACAGACATTCTTGACTCTTGAAAGGCTATCATTTTTCCTCAAGCATTTAGAGTAACATGCATTCAGTGGAGGGTACCTTCACAACATGCATCAACATAAATGCCCCTGATCAGAGCTCCTCTTGCCACATTTTTTAGAATGTTGGTGAAGGAAACTTGCAAAAAATCAGAGAAGTCTGCCTGCATTTTTCCTGGGGCCCAAAGCGCATGTGCATGACCCTGTGCATGTTCTTTTGGTTGGCTTGAATCATATGCATGGCCCTATGCAAAATTTCCTTGTCTGCTTTGGGGCCCCAAAACTATATGCATTCCCAATCTGCAAATGTTATGCATTTTTGAATATATTGCTGGGGTACCCCTTGTGCCTAACAACAACTCATAATGCTATCTGGTGATGATCCTTCACAGGTCGCTCTAATCTTCCAAGTGCTTCACCCTAGGGCATGTCGAGTCATGGCGAACCTTGGATCCCTGCACTTCACCAAGGATTGTTAATATAGTACCCCATCTCTATCATACAGTATGGCACCAGCCGTAACTATCCAGCCATCCAGTTGCATCCAGGATGCCTTCCGCATTAGGGATTCGAATCGATCCATCATATGCACGAAAAAGGGATGGACCATCAAACGAGGCCTGGGATGGTCAAAAAATGTATCCTTGGGAAGCAAGAAATGATGCAACATCACCAAAAACACAAGGTCAATCCCTGAACATAAAGCATTGAGGAACCACATTTCCAAAATACGTATGCCAAAATTGAGGTAATCGAGGCTCAAGGTCATGATTTCTGGAAAATAGGTTGTTTAAAGTAATAGCAGCTATAAATATCACTATGTATATATATAATAAATACACAAACATGCATACATACATGCACGCATGCATACATACATGAATGCATGCTGCATGCATAATCATACATAAACATGCATACATTACATTACATTGCATTGCATTGCGTTGCATTACATTACGTTGCATTGCATTGCATTGCGTTGCATTGCGTTACATTACATTACATTACGTTACATTACATTACATTACATTACATACATACATTTACATACATGTACATACATGTACATACATGTACATACATACATACATACATACATACATACATGCATGCATGCATGCATACATACATACATATTTTTAAACACACACACATATATATATATATACACGCATACATACACAAATACATTTGCATGTACATATACATGCCCACATGTATACATACATATTTTTACAAATGCAAGTGCGTATACAGATAGATAGAAAGATAGATAGATAGATAGGTAGGTAGATAGATAGGTAAGTAGATAGATAGATAGATAGATAGATAGATAGATAGATAGATAGATAGATAGATAGATAGATAGATAGGTAGATAGATAGATAGGTAGGTAGATAGATAGATCGATACATATATAGAATTATATAGATATAGATATAAAAAATAATAAAGTGTGAAATGTTGTTCCCTGGAAGGGTTCCTTTTGGGAGCCCTTCCCCTAGCTCCGAGATAGCTCCGAGCGGCTTATTCAGCTCAGTTCTCAGCTCATTATGCAGGGGACCCGAGAGCATGCTGAACAAATGCACGTCCTGAGTGTCGACCCACCCCGGCCAGGATATACAAGTGAAACATGCCCACCAAACAAATCGAACAAGCTCAAACTAGCATTATTCTGAAATGGGATGTTAAAATTAAAGGACCGGACAACCCCACATGTCAACTTCTTCCAATAACTGGCAAAAGAAAGGTAAAGATGGGATGGGAAATGCGGGAAAGAGAAAAGAGATGGTGAAGGATTGGCATGTGCCACACATGTATGTCGACAAGTTGTATGTGGACAAGTTGTGTGGACAAGTCGTGACAAGTTGTGTGGACGGACACCAGAGCCAGTCCAGTCCCATAAGTGCCACGCCTGCCACGCCAAAGTGACGGTGGATGTCACCAAGTGCCACGCCTGCCACACAAACGGCGGCGGCGACCACCGTGTCCACTTCGGCCCGAGCGCGCTACCGGAGCCAGTCCAGTCCCACAAGTGCCCCGCCTGCCCACGCCAAAGTGATGGTAGATGTCACCAAGTGCCACGCCTGCGACGCCGTTTGGGTGGATGTCACCAAGTGCTACGCCTGCCACGCAAAGGGACGATGGATGTCACCAAGTGCCACGCCTGCCACGCAAACAGCGGCGGCGACCACCGCGTCCACTGCCACCGAGTCCCATATAAGTGCCACACCTGCCACGCCAAAGTGACGGTAGATGTCACCAAGTGCCACGCCTGCCACGCAAAGGAAGCGCGCCACTGGAGCCAGTCCAGTCCCATAAGTGCCACGCCTGCCACGCCAAAGTGACGGTGGATGTCACCAAGTGCCACGCCTGCCAAGCAAAGGGACGATGGATGTCACCAAGTGCCACGCCTGCCACGCAAACGGCGGCGGCGACAACCGCGTCCACTGCGGCCCGAGCGCGCCACCGGAGCTAGTCGAGTCCCAGAAGTGCCCCGCCTGCCACGCAAAGGGACGATGGGTGTCACCAAGTGCCACGCCTGCCATGCAAACGGCGGCGGTGACCACCGCGTCCACTGCGGCCCGAGCGCGCCACCGGAGCCAGTCCAGTCCCAGAAGTGCCTCGCCTGCCACGCCAAATTGACGGTGGATGTCACCAAGTGCCACGCCTGCCGCGCAAAGGGACGATGGATGTCACCAAGTGCCACGCCTGCCACGCAAACAGCAGCGGGGACCACCGCGTCCACTGCGGCCCGAGCGCGCCACCGGAGCCAGTCCGATGTCACCAAGTGCCACGCCAAAGTGACGGTGGATGTCACCAAGTGCACGCCTGCCACGCAAAGGGACGATGGATGTCACCAAGTCCCACGCCTGCCACGGTGTGTTGACAAGTTGTGTGTGGACAAGTTGTGTGCAGACGAGTTGTGTGTGGACAAGTTGTGTGTGGACAAGTTGTGTGTAGACAGTTGTGTGTGGACAAGTTGTGTGACAACTTGCATGTTGACAATTGTGTGTGTGTGTGGACAAGTTGTGTGTGGACAAGGTGTGTCTGGACAAGTTGTGTGTGGACAAGTGGTGTGTAGACAGTTGTGTGTGGACAAATTGTGTGTGGACAAGTTGTGTGTAGACAAGTTGTGTGTGGACAAGTTGTGTGTGGACAAGTTGTGTGTGGACAAGTTGTGTGTGGACAAATTGTGTGTGGACAAGTTGTGTGTAGACAAGTTGTGTGTGGACAAGTTGTGTGTGGACAAGTTGTGTGTGGACAAGGTGTGTCTGGACAAGTTGTGTGTGGACAAGTGGTGTGTAGACAGTTGTGTGTGGACAAATTGTGTGTGGACAAGTTGTGTGTAGACAAGTTGTGTGTGGACAAGTTGTGTGTGGACAAGTTGTGTGTGGACAAGTTGTGTGTAGACAATTGTGTGTGTGTGGACAAGTTGTGTGACAACTTGCATGTTGACAAGGTGTGTGTGGACAAGTTGTGTGTGGATAAGTTGTGTGTGGACAACTTGTGTGTGGACAAGTTGTGTGTAGACAGTTGTGTGTGGACAAGTTGTGTGTGGACAAGTAAGTTGCGTGTAGACAGTTGTGTGTGGACAAGTTGTGTGTGGACAAGTCGGAGCGGCGGAGAGGCGGAGAGGCGGAGGTGCAGAACCAAAAACAAGAACCCCACACAAAGATGTGGGCAAAAATACTTTTATATTTTGGGAGGCGCGCTCAAAAATTCATTATCTAAATGGTATTCATTGCATTTCATTGCCGCGCTTTTGAGATTGTAGCAAAGCAAGAGCATCGTATATACTCCATTAGTAAATAATATCGTCTGACAAATAACAGCCTCAAAAAAACTAGGAAGGTGGAATTAAGGCTGACGGGCCATGGGATTTCTTAGGCTCTACGACCATTGGATAAGGAAAGCCCGAACGAAGCACTATGGATCTTACTTCCGGTTGAACGTGGAGTGTTTTCCTCTGAGGTTTCCGTTAATGCAAAGTTTGGGATGAAAGAGTCAGCCCCCAGGGTGACTTGTACAGTACCTGATTCTTGTGACCCATGGCGATATTTTTGGCAGTTTCAATCCAAGTCCATCCGCCTCCATCCCCCGCATCCACACATCCGGCATCTGAGTGCCGATCCGAATACTGGACACTTTTCTCTGTGGTGGTGAGAACCACATTGATGTATCGATTGATTCGGATCTGCAAGCGGGGGCCATCTTCTCCGATGTGCTACTTGCCCACTAGTCATCAAACATGGAACTGGAGAATCACCTATTTCCAGTTGATTGCCCATCGAGCATGCTGACTGCCCACTGCCAGGTTGGATTACCAAGCTATGTTATCAATGATCAAGTAAAAATCCTATGACCTACGGTGCGCTGCTCTAAAATGAAACGCTGGCAATTCAAATGGCGCAGCTGTCTTGGTTCTCCCTGAAGCTACGCCCCGCCCATGGCCAACCCTTGGTACCCTGCACAACAAAGACGTGTTTTTGCTGGACATGAGATTCTCACACCCTCCGCTCCTAGCAAAAATAGACATTCACCGGCCAGTTTAACCATTTCAAATACCTAATGGTTGTTGGCTTGCATCCCATGATTGTTTGTATAAATTTCAAACTTGGGGAGATTTCACCATTTGAATAATTTCTTTGATGCTTGAATACAATCATGTGATATCACGTGCTATCTCAAATTCTGCTGGAATTCTGATGCAACATCATCGGTTTGAAATCGCTTAGCTGCACAAATTTGACCAATTTACCCGTGGTTGCTGATTTCAAATCTTTACATTTGGTCGCAAATTGAAACCATTCACCTAAAGCAGCAGAGAAGTGATCCACGTAAACGCAACCCTACCATGGGGATATCATTTTCAACAATCGCTTGGTCTAGAAGGTGATGCCCACAATGCCAAAACTCCACACTTGCCAAAACCTGGCCTACCATTCACTAAGATTTGCCCAGGTTTCACCGTGAGCGCCTGCAAGTCCAGCGTGATGCCCCGTTGCCGCAAGAATTTCCGCAGCAACCAGAGCTGGGAGGAGTATCGCCCCGTCATCTTCCGCAAGCTGGTCGTGGCCTCGGTGGTGAAACTTGTTTTCAGGATGAGGTCCTGCCTTGGGAGGAATGATTTCATATGATTTCCTCCAAATTTGGGATGGTTTCCCGTAATTTCCCATTTTTTCCAATGGTTTCAACATGTTCAACCAGTTGGCATCTCCGGTGAGGACCTTTCAGGGCCTACAATTTGCGCAGCTTCATCCACCGAGGTGCCCCCGTCAAGCTGGCCACGAAAGAGGAGAACACCAACAAAGCGAAGAGCAACACGCCGATGGCGAAACTTCTTTCCAGGGTATTGGTGGGTTGAACGCCTCAAAGGTGCAGTCTGCTACAGCTTTAAAACCTAACTATACCCAAATGATGAACATGTAAAGCTGGTTGGAGTCGGAGAAACCAAACTCACAGGTCAAAATTGAAGGACATGTGGATTGGAAGTGGATGCGAAATAGGTGGAAGGATGTTCCGCGTTCGCTTATCGGACTATCGATGCGTGAAAATTTGATGCGAAAAATCTTACTGCTCTTGCAAGCATCAGGAAGGAAATCGCAACACCGCGGCTCAAACATGCAGGGGTGTGATTTTACAACTAACATTAACATCAACTATCATCACTGCGGAAATGTCAACATGTATACATATCATGGGTTTCCAGTCTTCGAAGGAAGAGGCAGAGAAGAGAAAGAGTCAGAAGAGAAAGAGCCAGTCGAAAGAAGATTGGTAGAAAGAAGATCAAGGCGCGCAAAAGGGTAGAAAAGTCGCGAAGCACGATGTTTTTCCGATGTTTTGTGGTCCGGAAGGTCGAATAGTAGGTTCGCTACAGCGGCGGGTGCAGAGCCATCTGGTCAGCTGAGAAATCAAAAATTGCACGCCGCTGTGGTGCGAAGCAGGTTTCGAAACACCTCGGTCGCGGACCACGTTTGGAAGTTGAGATGTTGAAAAAGTGCATGCGGCTGTGGCCTGTGGCGCGGAGCACATGTGGAAGTGAAAAGGTACAAAGCACCTCAGCTTCGGAGCACTTTTGGAAGTTGGGATGTTCAAAAAGTGCACGCCGTTGTGGCGCGAAGCACATTTCCAAGTGAACAGTGTTAAACACTGTCAATCTCAGACCACTTTTGGCAGTTGAGAGGTCGAAAAAGTGCACGCCCCTGTGGCGCGAAGCACATTTCCAAGTGAAACGTGTACAAGACAGACCACTTTTGGAAGTCGAAAAAGTGAACACAGTTGTGCGCGAAGCGTGCTCCGAAGGCAAAAGTGTTTAAAAGAGGGGGACGGAGATAGACAGATAGACAGAAAGAAAGATAGTTAGTTAGATAGATAGAACGATGAAAGATAGCTAGAAAATGGTAGATAGATAGATAGATAGGTAGGTAGGTAGATAGATAGACAGACAGACAGCAAGAACGATAGTTAGTTAGATAGAACAATGAAAGATAGAAAGGAAGAAAGATAGACAGACAGACAGATAAACAGATAGATAGATAGACAGAAATAAAGATAGTTCGAAAGAACGATGGAAGCTAGATAGATAGATATAAAGATAGATAGATCGATGGACAGATAGAAAGATAAAACAATGAGAGGGGGAGATAGATAGATAGATAGATAGATAGATAGATAGATAGATAGATAGATAGATAGATTCAATAGATAGATAGATGGATAGATAGATAGATAGAAAGATAGATAGATAGATAGGTAGATAGATTGATAGATTGATAGAAAGATAAATAGATGGATGGATGGATGGATGGATAGATAGATAGATAGATAGATAGATAGATAGTAAGTTGGATAGATAGATAGATAGATAGATAGAAAGATGGAAGAAAGAAAGAAAGATAGATAGACCGATAGATAGATAGGTAGATAGATAGATAGATAGATAGATAGGTAGAAAAATGAATTGATCGACGGACGGATGGATGGATGGATAGATAGATAGATAGATAGATACATAGATAGATAGACAGATAGACAGAAATAAAGATAGTCTGATAGAACGATGAAAGCTAGATAGATAATGGCAGATAGATATAAAGATACACAGATAGAAAGATAAAACAATGAGAGAGAGCGAGGCAGAGATAGATAGATAGATAGTAAGTTGGATAGATAGAAACAAAAAACAATGAGAGAGAGACAGAGAGAGAGGGAGAGAGAGAGAGAGAAAAAATAGAAAGATAGATAGATAGATAGAAAGAAAGATAGAAAGAAAGAAAGAAAGATAGATTCAATAGATAGAAAGAAAGAACGATAGATAGATAGATAGACAGATAGGTAGATAGATAGATAGATAAATAGATAGATAGATAGAAAGATAGATAGATAGATAGGTAGATAGATTGATAGAAAGATAAATAGATGGATGGGTGGATAGATAGAGAGCTAGATAGATAGATAGACGGATGGATGGATAGATAGATAGGTAGCTAGATAGATAGACAAACAGATAGATAGGTGGGAAGATAGATAGATAGGTAGATGGATAGATGGATGGGTAAATAGATAGGTAGGTAGATAGGTAGGTAGGTAGAACGATATAGAATGCTAGATAATGAGGGAAAAAGATGGATAAGAAAAGGTAGATGGATGTGATAGGTTAGATAGATTAGATAGGTTAGAGTGATTAGATCGATTATATAGGTTAGATAGATCAGGTAGATTAGATAGGTTAGGCAGGTTTGATAGATTAGAGATATATATATTAGATAGGTTGACTAGATTAGATAGATTAAATCTGATTAAATAGATTAGATAGATTAGATAGGTCAGATAGATTAGATAGGTTAGATGGATTAGAATGGTTAGATAGATTTAATCGATTAGATCAATTAGATAGATTAGATAGGCTAGATCAATTAGACAGACTAGATGGATTAGAAAGATTAGATAGGTTAGCTAGGTTAGATAGATAAGATAGGTCAGAAAGATATGATAGGTTAGACGGATTAGAAAGAGAATGGTAGATAGATAGATAGATGGATAGATAGATAGATAAATAGATAGATAAATAGATAGGTAGGTAGATAGATAGATAATAGATAGATAGATAAATAGATAGGTAGGTAGATAGATAATAGATAGATAGATAGATAAATAATTATAAAGATAGATAGACAGAAGGAGAGAAAGATGGAGAGAAACATAGAGAGAGAGAGAGAGAGAGGGAGAGAGAGAGAGAGAGACAGAGAGAGAGAGAGAGAGAAATAAGAGCCCCAACCACCTCTTGATCCATCAGTGGATTCGATCTGCCAGCCAAGCGTAGTAACAACCAAACCTCTCCTATAGGTGTCCTATCTTTGAAACTTCCTACGCCGCGTATACTGGTATTTGCTGCAGGTCAAGTTCTTGAATTGGGATCCATCTCCGCTACGGTCAAATCCGGTCAAACTGGGAAGATTAATGATGCATTTATCGATGCAGTGACGGACTTTTTTCCACAAGCAATAACCTAAGTTGTTACTTCAGGCCCGAGCCCCGAGCAATTGAGAAATAAAGGCGGTTGCTTTTGAACGAAAGCCCCGAGCAATTGACAAACGTGAGCATCTAGCGGCTACTGTTGGGGCACACCAATGCGTAAGCCCAAAACCAATGCCGATGCTACAGCCAAGTCGCTCATAGAGGCAGGTGTGAACTGGGTCAGGGACCAGTGCATACTGGTGGTATACCTGACAATGACGATGACGTTGACGACGGCGATGACGGCGACGACGACGATGATGATGATGATGAGGATGGTGCTCATGATGATGATGATGGTGATGCTGATGATGGTGATGCTGATGATGATGGTGATGCTGATGATGCTGATGCTGATGATGATGATCATGGCAGTGATGTTGTTGTTGTTGATGATGATGATGATGAAGATGAAGTAGTAGTTAGTAGTTAGTAGTTAGTAGTTAGTAGTTAGTAGTCAGTAGTTAGTAGGTGGTGGTAGTGTAGTAGTAGTAGTAGTAGTAGTAGTAGTAGTAGTAGCAGTAGCAGTAGTAGTAGTAGTAGTAGTAGTAGTAGTCGTCGTCGTAGAAGTAGTAGTAGCAGTAGTAGTAGTAGCAGTAGCAGTAGTAGCAGTAGCAGTAGCAGTAGCAGTAGCAGTAGCAGTAGTAGTAGGAGTAGTAGTAGTAGTAGTTAGTAGTTAGTAGTTAGTAGTTAGTAGTTAGTAGTTAGTAGTTAGTAGTTAGTAGTTAGTAGTTAGTAGTTAGTAGTAGTTAGTTAGTTAGTTAGTTAGTTAGTTAGTTAGTTAGTTAGTTAGTTAGTTCGTTAGTTCGTTAGTTGGTTAGTTCGTTAGTTAGTTAGTTAGTTAGTTAGTTAGTTAGTTAGTTAGTTAGTTAGTTAGTTAGTTAGTTAGTTAGTTAGTTAGTTAGTTAGTTAGTTAGTAGTAGCAGCAGTAGTAGTAGTAGTCGTCGTAGTAGTAGTAGCAGTAGTAGTAGTAGCAGTAGCAGTAGTAGCAGTAGCAGTAGCAGTAGCAGTAGCAGTGGCAGTAGCAGTAGCAGTAGCAGTAGCAGTAGCAGCAGCAGCAGCAGGAGTAGTAGTAGTAGTAGTAGTAGGAGTAGCAGTAGCAGTAGCAGTAGCAGTAGCAGTAGTAGTAGTAGCAGTAGTAGTAGTAGTAGCAGCAGCAGTAGCAGTAGTAGTAGTACTAGTACTAGTACTAGTACTAGTACTAGTAGTAGTACTAGTAGTAGTACTAGTAGTAGTACTAGTAGTAGTACTAGTAGTAGTACTAGTAGTAGTACTAGTAGTACTACTACTACTAGTAGTAGTAGTAGCAGCAGGAGTAGTAGCAGGAGTAGTAGTAGTAGTAGTACCCCAGCACGGGGTTGCTACACAGTCACTAGTTCAAGCCAGAATCCAAACCTTGATAAGATGCGGAAAGCCGCACGGAAGCCGTCAGCAAGAGGTTCATAGCAGAATGAGCCTAAGCCTGCGCTTGGGAAAGGGCACCATCGAATTGAGAAGAAAGGAAATGTTGGGCAGCGCCAGCTGCCCGGTCAGCACGGTCATTGAGAAGTCTGCTCAAGTTCACTTCCGCCACAAAGTTTCTCCATGAAGACAAGCGTCCATGAGCCGGAACCCAAGCGGCTTGCAATGACATGAGCAAGGCTAAACCTTGCACATTGAGCGTTCCAATTCGCAGCCTTTTCCCAAATGTGTGCAAGCAGTCTCTTGCAAACCTGTAGTCTCAGCCGCTGCGCACGCGGAGCAAGCGAACAATCTTTGTGGCAGGCCGAAGTTCGCTTGCATTTGACACAAAAGGCATTGCAATTTCTGCTGAATGTCATCCATTCTAGTTGCCAGCGCAAAAGTTTGCTAGACACAAAGTAAGTACACTTCGCCATACTGCGCCAAGCCAAGACCCAGAGGCAGAATCCCGCGGCCACCGAGACAAAGGTCAGGAGGTGGTACTCATAGCCGCAGGGCTTGAGCCAAATTGGGTACGACGATGTTGATGATGATGATGATGATGACGATGATGATGATGATGGTGATGATGGCGGTGCATCTTACTTGCGCGCTCATCATCAAATCCGACATTGGGCAACATATCTGCAACCGACACGGGTGCTGACCAGCAACACCAAACGTTGTAGTAAATCCCTAAGATGGATGAAAGGGCTAGGACTAACTTGGTTGTAGAATGATGTAACTAAATGGCTATACTTTTTTGTATGTCTGTATCTGGCCTCGGGTCTCCGGTCTCCGGTCTCGGGTCTCTGGTCTCCTGTCTCTCTCGATCCCTCCCTGCCTCCCTCCCTCCGTCCCTCCCTCCCTCCCTCGCTCTCACTCAACAAACCAATTCAATGGGGCCCGCAATAAGTACCCCAAGACCCACTGGTTAATCATACAGCGATTTTCCCATCACCACGCATTGAAGCGGACCTCTTTGGGGGGGTACGCCCCATATCCATGATTCATTGACTAAACAAATATATTTCAATCCATGCTGCCATGATTAAATGAATTTTGGGTGATTCACCATGACTATTGCTACGCCCATTTTCTGGGTGGGTGGTCTTTCTCTTCATCAATTCCAGGCAGCTTGTAGAGCAGAAGTTGGTCCGTCGCATCTTCACAGTTCACGGTGTCAAACTCGACCTGCACCGCTGACGATGTAAACCCCAGCTTGTGCGGTTTGCAAGCAAGACTTTGGCTATCGCCCATCTCCAAATGGGGATATATGTATATATCTGTTCCCATGTACGCATGCAAACACACACACACAGTCACACACCAGGTTGCAGTATATATAATTACAGCATGTATAATTACAAAACAATCATTAAAAACATGTGTATATATGTATATATATATATATGCAAATATGTATAAATATAAATGTATATAATTGTAAATAGATATATGTATATATATATATGTAATATATGTAAATATATGTAAATATATGTATAAATATATGTAAATATATGCAAACATGTAAATACATGCAAATATATGTAAATATGTATATATATATATATGTATATGTAGATATATGTAAATATATGTAGATATATGTAAATATATGTAAATATATGTATATATACATATGTATATATATGTATATATATATATGTATATATGTGTATATATATGTATGTATATATGTATATATAAATATGTATATATATATGTATATATATGTATATACATATGTATACATATGTATATATATATATGTATATATTAGTGCGTGTGTGCATATGCAAAAAAGTTGCACACTGTAATATCTATCTCATTATTCATCCATCCATCCGTCCATCCATCCACCCATCCCTCCACATTATATAGCCTCTTATCAAGTTACCATGCCTGAAGTGCACGCGAAAGCCGCGGGATGTTTTTCCAAGGCCCAAGGCTCCCCAAAAAATGATCTGCAAAATTGAGGTTGGGCAAACCCTTCAAAGCAGAGCAATCCGTTTTACAGAATACTGGTGGGTTCCATTTTTTCGGGAAATATTCAAATTGTTGATGAAGGTTGATGATACTGGGTCAGCTACCTTGTAATCCTTGTATATAATTAATTGCTGGCACTTCGTGGCCCAAATAAACAAGTGGTTGATGGTTTCAAGCCAGAAACATATTTGTCAATTGGTATTGTCAGCCCAAATAAGGTGGACGATAAAACGTGTTTCACGTACATGGCAAGGTTCACCTAACGGAAGCAACCGGTGAATTTGCCCTCCAGTTATGTAACATCCCTGGCTAGAGACTGCGAATCTTTCAACGGGTAAGCCATCTATAAATGGCAAATCCATGATACTTGTGGAAAATACACCAAAACCATCAAAAACCAATCGCAAATTGGAGGCTGCTTTCTGCTTTTTAGTTACCGGTTAGGTTTGGTTGGTTACTGGTCAGTTCCTGGTTAGTTACTGGTTGTCTTCTGTCCTCCATGTCACAACAAATCCCCGCATGGCAGCTTACTTCCAAAGACAGTAAGTATATACATAGATGAGAACTGAAATGAATTGAATACATACAAAAAAGTATAAAAGAGTGATATACAGCTGATAATTCATCACGCATCCTCACAATCTACAAAGCGATCATCATCTCGACTTTGGAAGGCCCCGTGCCTGCAGCCAAGATGTCGATCTGTCAGGTGGGTTACATCCCACCTGGCCCGGCTGCAGCAGGGGGATTTTCTGCGGGTTTACAGAGGTTACTGGTCATGCTATATGTGAAATCCGTTAAGATCCCATGGCTGGACCATGCTGGACCACCTAGCCACACTTGTCCCAATGAAACCAAACATAGATGCGGAAAAGGCGCGTTAGATCGCGCTAGAAACTCGAAAAGCAAGATGATCTTGCAATTGGAAACAAGATGCATTTTTGCTTTTTATTGGATTCCACGATGATCATTGGATATTATTATTATTATTACTATTATTATTGATGTGTATGGGCAGTGTCTGGCTTGGAGTAGCCGTATCTAATCGTCCAGCCGTTTCTGGCACCCCAGTTTAGCTTGTGATGCTCTCCGCCTTACACGCAGTGTAACAAGATTCCTGTTGTTGAGTTGGGTTGTGTTTTTTAGCAACGCAGGTCCCATAAACAAAAGTCAGCTGGGATCATCATCCTATGCAACTGTATCTTCGTTCCGGAAAACAATATCCATCACATATTTGATGGAAACCGCGCGCCACTGAAGTTTCGATTGTGGCATGAATTCGAAGTCATGGCGTCCAAAACTGATGTCGCATCTTTCCAGTGCCGACAAGGTGCCAGATACCATGCACAGGCAATGAAATGATTGATAAATATAATCAGAATCAAGAGCTTGACGATGTCAAGAAGCCTGAGGTATTCTTCCGAGCTAGGCAGGAGGAGGATGGTTGACTTCTACCGGAAAACAGTGGATCTTCCACTCCCAGAAAAGCTTCAGGAACCTATCAAAACCTTCTTCAAAATGATTTGGAGCCACGTTTGGTGTTCCTCACCATGGAACACCCCATAAGGTCTCATGCGGTCAGCATCGGTCCGCCATGAAGTTGCTCAAAAGTTGACAGCGTCCAGACCAAGTTTCGTGCAACATCTTTCTAGATGACCTGTTTGTCCACAAGTTTGAAAACGCTTAACACTGCAAATGATCACTCGCCCACCCCAAATCAAGAACTGCCAAGCAGAAAAGACATGTCCACTGACAGTCCCAGGAACACTGAGATATGTTCCGAGTCCACCTGATCCTCCGGGGGCCCGGGAGGCTTCAGAGTGGCTGCGGTGTGTGCGGTGTGGAAGCATATTCTAGAAACTTGCGCTGACCAGAAAAAAGTGGGACTTCTCACACAGGAGGGAAATTAAACTAAACGTCGTTTCATTTAGTCCACCAAATAAGATTGGGATTTTCGAGCACAACCAAGCAGCGTGGGGATTTCTTAGCAGCAACGCGGGGAATATGAACGAGCAATTTTTCGTTGGTTTTTGAAAGCCAAACACGAACATGGAGAGTTGGCCAAGCACGTGGATCTGATCCGCAAAACAGGGGGAATGATGGATAGAAAGCGACAGTGTCAACAGTGGTGCGTGGTGCCCACTTTCAAACAAGGTTTAACAAACATACAGAAACTTCATAGAACCTTAGAAGGAAGGAACATATCATGAAACTTTAGAGAACATATGCAAAATTATGCAACCCAGTTGGACAAGATCATTAAAGATCATATTCTGTTTGCACATGGGCACCGCGGAACCTCATGACTCATGGTAGTCATGGTTTTCCCAAGTCCTGAAGCTTATTCCTGAGTGCGGCTGGTTGGTGTTTTGTCGCCGGGGGCCCAGGTAAATGCATGTTCTTTGTGGTATTTGGAATTCATCACCTCAACAAGGGGCTGAAAGTATACGACATGGTTGACAATCGTGGAAATTGATGCACGGGTGCACCGCTATGTCTTTTCGCCAAATCCTTTGCTTCAAGCCACTACTCCAAAATGAGCTGCCCTAGATGGGTGGACCAATGACTAGACTAGGCAAGCCCAGAGGAAACCATCTGGAAGATATCAGGCGAATAGTTGAAACGTACTTGAACATAGTGACCAGTTGGACCAGGATGGAAACAAGACCTGGTTGAAGGCAGTCACTTACTAACCTGGCAACCTGGCACTGTTTCCTTTTTTGGTGAAACGTCAGAAGGATGATAACGAGGGATGCGTTCAAATTCATTGCTATATCGTTATCATGTACAAGCAACCATGGTCACAACAGCCCGGTGCGATGCAGAAGCTTGGATTGTTTTTCCCCAGAGTGTGACTGGGAAACAGAGCCAGGCTTGCATTCGGCATCTTTCTTTTTACCCTTTTTAGGCAACTTAGGTGGTGTGATATATGTTCCTCTGATGCTGGTGGTGTGAGCATGCAAGCAACATGATCCTCTCCTGGTGATCTTAGGGTATCCTGGGGTGATGCCCATTAGATTTGCCTGGTGCAACCCAACAGCTCACCATCAACCATCATGTGCGTACAAGTATCTCCCACATTTCTGGGTTTTCACCTCTTCAGTTTACTTAAGATACATTCAAAGGTAGAAACCACCATGGTCGCTCCCTGTGGCAGCGCATGGCCCCAGTCACAGTAGCTGCCGAAGTTTGGCCAAGCGCAACAACCGCAGCGTGCGCAGAACGCGCAAGGCGCGAAGCATCTTGCCCGCACGCATCAGCCCGGCACCTGAGATCCGAGGAATCAGTAGATCGGTTGAAGCGGATCGGTTTAAAGAAACATCTAGCGGAAACATGGGGAAAAGAGTTCTTTGGTGCCACGCACGGGGATTTTCCCTTAGTTAAAGCAATTCTCAAGAAAATTCTCCTGGAAGTAGTTCTACCTTTTGCTTACAAGCCGTTAAATCTGATTAACTTCCAACCAACTTGGAGGGGTGGTTCGGGTGGGGTGCAAAAACCAAGAGCAAACATTCCCAGCTTTGATTTCACCATCGGCCAGGGGTCGTTGCCCGCCCCACCACATGACCAGCGGCTCTTGCCCTCTTCCTCTGAAATGAGGGCCAGCACGATGACCCAATCAATGCTGACCTTGGTGGAGGCCCACTAAGCAATATGGTTTTTGGCGACTGATTGAAGCAAAGTTGGACGCTTCAATATTAAACTTATCTGCGTTATCTTGAATTATCTTGGTTCAAGTTCATGATGCTGAAGACCTCTTGAGCTATACCTCTTCTTCTCTGTGCACAGCCCATGGTGGATATATAGTCGAGTGTATAAGACTTTTTAGGGGTTCTTGGGATCAAAAGCTGGGAGGCATGTACCCTCAAAACAATTTGCTCAATGCGAGCCAAGAAGCAATGACCACGTCCAAGGGAAACCAGCTCAATATATACCTTGACCCAAGAACATGGAGATACCCCCTTTCCAATTTCACCCAAATCATGTGCCATGATATCTTCCTTGACGCCACATGGACTTCTTTACACCAGGAGCATGGTTTTGGACGGAACATAGAGTCAGAAAGGTGCCCAGGGCAGCATCAGTATGTTGTGCATCCAAGCATCTGCTTAGCGATCTTTCGCAAACTCACTACCAGCGTTCCGTCGCGAGCATAGTAGCCCACGCAAAAGCAAGCCAGAATATCCAAGGTCCAAAAACCCAACGTTATGCCTCCAAGGTTGCGCCACGATGGGCCCCTATCTCTAAACACTTGGACTTTGTGCGTGCGCACAGCAGGGGATCACGAGAAGTTCGCCGGGGATTGGGCTCAGTACGACCTGACTGGGGTCCCTTCTTGTAGCAACTGGAACATGTCTAATATGTGACTGCCAAAATGGTGCCTTTCTGCCATAAAGAAAATAATTCAGCGAAGCAAAGGGCAATGCTCTGTTTGGTTGGCGGTAGAGAAGCCGATCGCAAAAATATGGTTATCAATTCTGGATGGAAAATGGTTGAAGCGATAACGGAATTGAGGAATGGGTTCTGTACCTTGGAAGGCAGCTTCTATGTTGAATGTCGGCAGCTAGCGTCAGCATCTTTCAAGATTCGGCTACACTTCTGGTGTTGTGCCATTTGCTGCCCAAAGGGCCAGCGGGTCGAACATGTCCCATTAAACACACGTCCATCCGCATAACATGTTGACCCAATGGATCCCAATGGCAAACCAGATCCAACTCACAAAACTCTACTATATCTACTATTATATATTTGAAGGTAAACAAACCAAACCGGAAAAAGGGGTGTACTAAATCTACACGTGCTGGCTTTATCCTGTTATTCTTCAACAACATCTTGTTGTCTAGCTTTTAGGGGTTCAACCGCCCAGCCTGTCATCATGTCAAGGAAAAGATTCGGCGCCAATGGAAATGCCGTGTACATAGGAATCATGATGAGGTCGTACAGAAGTATCGCAACCTCAAACCCCAAAGTGGGAGCCACCCTTTTCAGTAGTCCCATCTGAGAAGATTCTCTGCAGTTCCATGGGGCAGCGAGCATATAAACCCGAAGCTTAAATGCGATCATTCCCTAGCCAACTTGAAACAGCAGGTCTGACACTAGCAAGCATTCACTGGCCCCCAAGTTCGCAGCGTTCCCCCAAATCAGTAAATAGCATTATTCTGCAGACATCTCTTTAGAATTGAGCTGGCAGTCAGAAAAGGCAAGGGCAGTGTATCATCCAAAGTTCATTGATTGGCGAGACCACCACCATTGGCTGGGGATACCCCACACATTATATATATCTATATATATATATAAATGTGTGTATATCCACGGATGATCATATACACATATATACATACATAACATTACATTACATTACGTTATATTAGCAAACAGATATACATACATACATTTAGATACTTTGGAAATACATACAATAAATGGGCAAACCATCGGGCAAACCATGGTCAAAAGCATCACTTGCTGGGACCCACATAAAAATTGGGTGGCCGTTCAGACCCGAGAGGCTCCCGCCAGATCCCATCCGATGCGTTTTGGCGAGTTGGGACTCAAAACCTTGAGGCGCCGTCCAGCGGGGTGGTCGGATGGAGTTCTGCCGCGATCTGTTGCGATTTTCTCATCCGATGATCACGGCCATCGTAGATATCATGTTTTGGTATGTTAGCTGTTTGACCTAAGCTTCCATTTCTAGCCACATGTATGAGGTTAAACCAATATGTAACGGATGACAATGAGACTGATTGAGGCTCACGAGAATCAAGATGATCAAGTATGGCCCCAGGGCTGGCAATTTCTTAATGATCACTTACCAATTATCAACCCAATGATTGCTCAAACCCGTCGACAACAACAAGGTATAGGGATAACCATCCAAAGTTTTGACATGGACACGGGTGGATAAGACAACGCGCGTAACACAAAAGAATCAAACAGTGGTGTGAAAGCCAAACCTTGACACCCTGGTTTTCACCTCAAACCCATTGAGTTGAACATCCCGACAAAGAGTTTTTGTCTGCTGGGAGAGACTCTCTCTCTCTTCAATTTTGCTTCTCTTTGACCCATCTGATCATTTTCTAAAAACGGCCATAGAAACCCACCGCGAAGATCGCGTTTGAGCTATCAGCTTCCTCTCCTGCTCCAACTCCTAGCCGAGCGGAGCCAAGTGGAACAAGTCTTTTCCATCAAACAAATTGGAAAAAAGAAAGGTGTGGCGGATCTTGCAAATTTGAAAGTTTCCTTGCATGGGGGCCAAATCATGCATTTTATTTTCGGATTTTCCATTATCAACCATCCATATTGGGGATCCCCCATTTGAGAAGATAGAGATTGCATGTCTTTGATCCGGCCAAACGAACATCTAGGGGCGAAAAGAGGATCATGTCACTCCTAATGGCATCCAAAAGCTAGTTTTTGAACCATGCCCGCCGAATCTCGAAAAGTCCCCATCCAGCGCTGCTTGTTGTCACCCCATCGGCTGCCTGACACACTTTCCCACATGGCTTTGTTTCAAGCAAAAAAAATGCGGCAAACAACTCTACTATGCAGTCTAGTTGTTTTGGAAAATGACATACCCAGATGTCCCACCATTTTCCCAAACCAACAAACTGCTGTCTCCTTGGCGAAGTCGTCGCTACCACCTGCCACCAGCGGTACTGGTGCAGAAAGTGAATATGTTTCTTTCATTTTTGAAGTCAATATGTAAAGTTCAGCGAAAAATGCGAGGGTTCGACCAACAAAACTGATGCATGCCAGCCACCAAAGAAGATAATTACAACTGATAGACTTGGGGTGTCTCTTCAAGGTGAGGTTTCACAGACTTGGTTGCAAGTCCATTCGGTGAAGAGCTATCTGCAGAGCTATCCGCACATGGGCAGCTAAAGCAGTCAGAAAAATGATCATTCAAAACACCAATCAGGAATCCGGGATAGCTGATTGGTTCCAAAATTTAAAGGGTTGAATATAAACAGTGACCTCATGTAGGTTAACATTTGATATGGAGTATCGCTGATCACTAGCTGAGGATGGACAGGTTGGGGTTAGATGCAGCGAAGGGCTGCCAAAGCAGCCCCGACGCCCCTGATGCCATCACGAACTACGCCTTCGCTGCTCAAGAGATCATCATCTTCGCCGTCTTCTTCTTTCCTTTTTAGGCCGTTGTGTCATCCAGTCTCGGGAACTGGGGCTATGCCACCCGTGTTGAAAATGTTGAAGGCGTTTCTTGTATGGTAAAATTAAAATCAATCTGAATTTCATGTCGGTGATGGACTTATGTTTGGTTGCACAGGTTTTGTTGGTGGTATCGCCAGTGCTAGTTGGGGTTGTACCATAATGACCAATTGACACCATCATTTCTGGCATGTGATCCCATTATCTATTAAGCGGCTGGGCCAACTGTGCCACCCGCAGACTCTGGAATTTGTTTAAGGCTTCCCAGAAAAGTGAGAATGTTCGAGCTAGTTTCCCTAAAGTGGTTGGGTAGCAAATGACACTTAGCGGTTCAAATCTGCTGCTAAGGCTAAGAAGGGTCTCTAAGGATGAATTTGAAACTAGGGGGAGGGAGCTATAGGGAAACGGCTATGCATGCTGAAGCATGTCAAAATCTAAAAATAGAAACGAAATCAAACAACAAACTACGCCTACGTTGTGCGGAGTTTCTGCACCGAAAAACATGGTGTCAATTTTTTTCCTTGAGTTGGCTATATACGAAGAAAAAACAACCTCTGTTGAAGCAAGCACAGAAGGTCCACATGGTCGAGCCCCCGAAGCCTACCATGGAACCCTGGCTTAAAACCCCCTGTGCAGCCCTTTTGCAATAGGGAACTCACCTTCTAACCCTTAATTTTTGATGGTTAAATTCGGAATCAGACAGTCTTGTCGGTAACGCCGGTTCCATGTGCTGTGAGTTTCAGGATTCACCGTCGTCGCGGGCATCGAATATGGGGCTTAACCCCAATTTGACGGTTTATCCATTCGTTGTGTCTCACTTTTGTTCATTAATTAAACACTTTTCACCGAAATCATTCAGCAACCAACCAACCAACCAACCAACCAGCCAACCAACCAACCAACCAACCTACCTGCCACAAATCAACATGATTGAACATAGGGGCATCTATGTAGCTTGCGCCAAGCATCAAACACATGGCGAAACTTTGACTCTTGGCGTAGGTGCTCCACAGCTGAAAATGCCTGAGGTGGTTGACCAAAAGAGAGGGTGGCCACCATAAATTGAATTGGTATTCTGGCCTTGAATGAACAAATTTCCTGACTTATCATCACCATGCCAAAATGCCTATGTCCAACCAGTAATGAGTGAAGGATCGTGGTCTCATGGTTGCTTAGGGCCGAGACACTCCCGTCCGCAAAGTATAGGCTTTGGCTATCATCCAATATGTTGAAAAAATGAAAACATATGTTTCGATTAATTCTAGATCTTCGCTGCGCAGTGACAAACAATCTGAAAGCATCTATCTTCAGGTAGACTATACTTAACTATCCAAAAGGCAAAAAGAGCCTTTTGTATCATTGTTTGACATAGATTTGTGGTTCCCCAGTTTGGGTGAAGCCCACGTGCAAGTTTGATCACCGCTTGTGTTTCTCAAAAGATGTAAGCCACTGACAGTACTATATACCTTGAGTCCGTCCTAATAGCTGTAACAGTCAGAAAAAAGGATTTCTATGATTTCTTGATATGTTGGGCGAACGTTGTTTTGAGTGTTTTCCTTCGTGCGCAAAATCAATTGTGCTTTTCGGGGCTTTCCCTCGTGCAAAAAATCGTGCTCTAGATCGTGCTTTTTGGCGCTCTCCCTCGTGCACAAAATCGTGCTTCTTGGTGCTCTCCCTCGTGCCAAAAACCGTGCTCTAGATTGTGCTTTTTGGTGCTCTCCTTCGTGCCACAAATCGTGCTTTTTGTTGGTGCTCTCCTTCGTGCATTGCTCTCCTTTGTCCAAACATCGTGCCCTAGATCGTGTTTTTTGGTGCTCTCCTTCGTGCACAAAATCGTGCTTTTGGTGCTCTCCTTAGTGCCAAAAACCGTGCTCTAGATCGTGCTTTTTGGTGCTCTCCTTCGTGCCACAAATCGTGCTTTTTGGTGCTCTCCTTCGTGCCACAAATCGTGCTTTTGGATCTTTTTGGTGCTTTCCCTCGTGCCAAAAATCGTGCTCTAGATCGTGCTTTCTTGTGCTCTCCTTCGTGCCAAAAATTGTGCTCTAGATCGTGCTCGCTCTTACAGCTATTAGGCTTGTGTCAATATATACCATTATATACCTTTCCTGCCTGACGCAAATGGCTAACGGACATGGGTGTATTGGGGGAATGGCTATGAACCAGCAATGTTCCCATAGTTCCGCCACTCTTGTTGATCAATGTAATGGAAAATGCTGGAGCACCCTAAACATACTAGAGATTTTTGAATTGGCGGTTGCAACGCGTCCCCAAAATATGCATCATTGTGGGTCATCACTCACAGCATGATTAAAAATAGACAATAGGTGAACGCATCAAACAATTCGCCGCTGAAATGCATCTGACCAAGTTACTCAAATTCAGAAACCTAAAAAAAGGGGACGTTTGGGGATGATCTCCCACCCCATCTCAAGCAACTTTAACATGACTTCTTTGTGGAATCACTACACATTGACCCAAACACCTTGCCATTTTCCAGCTATGTTTGTTGATCCTGTCCCAAGCATCTGCACCTTGGAGAGTGTGGTGTTACCTCATCCTCAACGCCTGGCGTTGCCCCCAGGCATGGTGTTTGTTGGAAGAAAACCATTCTATGTCCTTTTAGTAGCAATGTGTTGTTATTAATCATATGTTGGAAGTGGCACCGAAAAAGGTTTACCTACATTTTTTTTGTATGCATACAAAACACTCGCAAAACACATCATATACACATATTAGAAAATATACAAATGCATCCTTTTGAATTCATCATCGCTCTCCCTCCCTCCCTCCCTCCCTCTAACACGGTGGTTAAGTAACAAATCAAAAACTCATTGGATTGATTTAAGGGAAAATCTACAGGAAACCATGGTTTTTACCATCAAATATATGGTTTTCCTGTAAAATTTCCCATCATCCAATTCCATGAAAAACATATATATATATATATATATCTTGTTGCAGCATATTTCCGCATGTATATATACATATATATATATATATATGTGATATGCATGTTTACACCCGAAAATCAAATTTGTCTTTTCTTTGGTTTTAGATGGTCTGGGGGGGTTGGGTCATCATGTGGCCATTGATAGTCAGAGACACGGGAAGCCGATTTTGTTCGTCATGCTCAATGCTTGATCAGGTCTAGCAAACAAGGGCAGCCGCCAAAAATTGGTGCCATCCTTTCCAATTCTTTTGACGTATATAAAAGCGCAGCCCGCCCAAATCATTTTTGGACTGGACGAAATCCTGCGGCGCTTTCCTCCCCCCGCTTTGTAATCTCCACTAGCGAAGTCGAAGCATGCCCATTTGAAAATGCCCAGCCGAATATGTCAAACTTTCAGAATCGAATTCAAACGTCAAAATCCAAATATTTTTTTAGACCAACAGCTTCCCAGCAGCTACTTGCCTTGCAAAGCATCTTCACTTCGCCCGCTCTCTTCCGCCCGCGGCAGGATGCCAGGGTCTGGCACGGGTAAGGCCCTTGGGGGCGTCCGCAAGGCACCAGGACCCAGCTCCACCGGGACCTGACAATTGGAAGGGCGAAGATCTGAGTTCACCCAACTGAATTCTTGAACCGATCAAGCATATCAAATATGACCCAACGTGGGGTGTAAGGCAACAAGCACGAGATTTTGAATTCCACATGCAGCATGCTGCAACAAAGGAACCCAGCTAGGAGCAAGCATCAAACTTGAGGGTTTGCAGATTCACACCTACCAAAATTACTTTACTTCGAGTTATCCCCACCATGACATCTATACGTTTTGTTACTGGCAAATCTTCCGGCATTCTATCTGACATTTCTTCTGGCATTTTATCTGGCATTCTATCTGGCATTCTATCTTCTGGCATATCTTCTGCAATACGTTCTGGCATATCTTCTGGCACTCTATCTGGCATATCTTCTGGCGTTCTATCTGGCATATCTTCTGGCATTCTACCTGGCATATCTTCTGCAATATGTTCTGGCATATCTTCTGGCACTCTATCTGGCATATCTTCTGGCGTTCTATCTGGCAAACATTCTATCATTTTATCTGGCATACCTTCTGGCATTCTATCTGGCATATCTTCTGGCATTCTATCTGGCAAACATTCTGGCACTTTATGTGGCATATCTTCTGGCATTCTATCTGACATGCTATCTGGCGTTCTATCTGGCATATCTTCTGGCATTCTATCTGGCCGTTGAGGTCCAGCGGTGCTCACTGAGCTCGGAGGGTCCCAGGTTGAGGTCCAGCGGTGCTCACTGAGCTCGGAAGTGCCCAGTGCGCTCAGACCCTTGCAGTTGAGGTCCAGCAGTGCCCACTGCGTGCTGAAGTTGGTGAAGAGCTTGGCGAAGAGTTGGCAAGGCGGAAGTGGACATGGAAGTGGAGGCAGAGGTGGTGGAGGAGAAGGAGGAGGAGCAGAAGAAGGAGGAGGAGGAGGAAGAGGAGGAGGAGAACAACTCTGATAAAACCTAACAGCCCTCACCTGGCAGGTGAGAAAAAAAAACTGAGGGCTAACAATTATTGTGGCCTAAGGCCAACAACCAAATTACATAGTTCATAATCAGGTAAAAAGCCAGCACCGCAGGGTTGCCCTGAACTGTGAGATGCGCTCCCTGAAACAAAAGGAGTTGGAGCATGGCAAATCGCTGTTCTAGTGCGCATTTTGGGTTGAGCTTCTCCAGCGATTGCTGGCATCAAAAACCACAAGGAAGCCTGTTACTTCCATCATTTCAGGCAAACACTTGGCCCATTCCCCCAAAAAGCTGACGCACCAGAAACCTAGTGTTCGGTGCCGCTCTTGCACTCCCGACCGTGCACCTGCTTCTGGTGCGCGGCCAGAATTTTTCTTTCAACATCCTGTGGCGCGATTGATTGGCGAGGCTTTTGTGACACGTGGGCTTCAAAGTATTTGGTTAGCATCTGCAAACTCACAGTTTTCCGAGCACAGGGCCCTGCATCAACACTAGAAGAGCATTGGGCGACATACTTCATGTGACTGCCAAGCATGGATGATAAAGTGCCAAAATTCTTTTTCATGTGGCACTCAGAATAACTTGAAATCATCCTGACCATTCCGAATAGCGATTTCGTGCCCGAAAAAATCAGGATCACGTGGTATATAAGTCAATCATGAAATCACCCTAAAGGCGATCTCAAGAAAGCAGTCCTTAACATACATAATTTTGTCTGACCGAAAAAACTAAATTCCCTGGGAAAACATGATCTCCACCATCAAAACTGCAACACATTGATGGCAAACGTCAAACTTTTCAGAGAAACCCGTTTGGCCCCCACCCTTTATCATCCTTTGCCCATCCTTCAAGGAGTCGGTTAAAACCTTCTTGAAATCTTCCGCCATGGTGCGAGGGAGATAGCGTTGACATATGTTTTTCTGGTCTGAGCCCCAAAAGACACCACCAGGAGCTGCCTCGCAGTTGGTTGGTTCGGGGAAAATTTGCGGGAACACAGGTGATATGGGTATTTCCCAAGGTTGAGGGTTACCCTAGACGCAAGCTGGTGTCAACACGAAACGCATCTAATTCTTGATGATCTGGAGGTCCAACATGCTTACTTTGGGGGAAACGCGCTTCTTATGAATTTCCCCACCAACAATCCAATTCACACCAGTGCTTAAGGTCCGGCATTTGAATTTGTCTAGAAATGACACAAGGGAATCTAAGGCCATGCTGGCATCTACAACTTCACTGGCAGGCAAGCGCTTCCTCACACAACGCAGGCATACACAAGCGCGTGATAGCCTAGCTCCATGTTTCAGGTTTCGGTGTGGGACCCCTCAGGCTGGCCACTGCAACGCAACACCCCGGCGTTTCACTTTTTTGTTGCCGCTGCTATCTTTTAATGCCCATGAGGGAAGCAATCCTGAGGAACTGGCTGAGGGCAGGCTTTTCAAAAGCACCCAGGAACACAATTTGAATGATTGAATTTAGAAATCATTGGGAAGAGATCGCGGCCAAGGGGGCCATCTGCTTGCAACATGGTATCCTTCCTAACTCAACAAGCAAGTGTTTCATATCTATACTTTGCACTCTGAAAATTTTCCGGGGTTACACTTGACAGGCCCTTGCCACCTGCAAATGGCTTTGCAGTCATCGCTACTCTTGGTTTTGATTTGTTTGTTGATGGTTTGCGCCCTGCATCACTCCACCCATTCCCGGAAACCAAGTCCGTCAGTGAGATCGGGTGGACCAAGCCCTTTTTTGCATGGTTCCACTTGCACACCCTAAAGTTAACATTTTTCCCGTTGAATTTCCCCAAAAATGCTTTAGTAAATCCAGCATTGTGTTGACCATACTTTAATTACTGTAAGGTACAAACCCGTATTTTTGTTGGCAACGCCATCCACTTTTTGCTGGTACAACTCAATGTGTTTGTTAGCGGCCAGCGGCATCCAAGCTTGTGTTAGGCTAGAAATCTCACCCCGTTTCATCCTAGACCCAGACCGCACCGAGCGGCATCTTGGCCTTCCGCGCAGCCCGCGCTTGTCCTCGTGCCCGGCCGTCCGGCGTGGGGGAGCGATAGCTGCCGCTGCTGCGCACATGGGGACCTGGTCCGCACATGGATGGAGGCGAGACTGGTGGAGTATGGTGCATGAAAGTTTAAAACGGTTCCAGCACCATGCACTGGCTGAGAATTTCAAAGATTTCGGCGTTTGTGAGGTCCTGAAAGCGAGTGGTAGCATCAAAGTGTGATTCCAGGCATCATGATCCAACCATATCCAAACCCAGTTGGTGGGCTCCATGTTCCAAACGTGAGGCGTCTCTCATCGAACGCTGCAAAAAGTTTTTGTTGACGGAAAAATTCTAAGGCCACCCATCTACTGCGAGTCAACTGAGGCAATATACTTACAAAGGTATTGACTATGGGTCCAAACTGGGCACCCCTAAAAGATACAATCGGCCATTAATTGACTACTTTAATCTAATTACTTTCGGTGACCTCAGAAATCTTGCGGTCCAAGCAAAGAGTTGCGCCCAACATCATCCACATCCAGTAGCCTCCCGGGCGCTTGGGCGACCGGGAGCGCTCCCGGTTCCGCCGCCGGCTCCGGCTCCGTCGGCTGCGGCTGCGGCTGCGGCGGCTATCGATGCGGCCGCTGCCCGCGGCGTGGCGAAGGATCTTGTGCGCCTGTCAGGACCGTCAGGTGGTGTCAGGTGGTGTCAGGTGGTGTCAGGTGGCCATGGTGAACTGAAACCAACCCGGAAAAATATAGGAGGCACAAAAATGAAAATTTTTGGCGCACCACACACACTTTGACTGCGAGGTTCTAAGCGGATTCGTAGAACCCATGTTAAAACACCGTTGGGAAAGTTTAGGAAGTAGAAGTTCAAGACAATATGGCGTTGTTGAAGCAACCGGGGGGCTCTAAGATGTAAGAATATCCTGCGGGTAGGCCCTAGAGGTCCATTTTGCTTCCCGAACCGGTTTCCCGTTCAGATACTAAACCACGCACGCTTTGTTTCCTCCATGGGCCTCATGCGGATCAAAGAGCCACGCCTCTCGGTTCGTTCCTAATCAAAAAAGCTAAAGCCAAAAAGTCTTGGCCCAACCCTTCTGAACATGCAAGGTATGTATGGCCTCCATTGGTTCCAAGGTGTCACAAGTTTTCCAAGTTTGCACCGTAATCGGGTAATGAATCCTTGTTAGCTAGAGACATGCTACCAAAACAAGCGGAGCGCTCACGACTCCTATTTTTGTCTGTGACGAGTGGTGCAGTCTCTGTACAAACCACTCACCCAGAGAGACTTGCCAGCCGACATTCTGTCAGCGGCATATCCCCCCGGGAGGGTGGGAGGGCCAACAATCAAAATGGGCAAAGACTTGAGCCCAAAATGACAGTAGCAAAACACGCTAACCCTCCGTTCTAGTGAACATCCAAGTTAGCTAGAGACATGCTACCAAAACAAGCGGAGCGCTCACGACTCCTATTTTTGTCTGTGACGAGTGGTGCAGTCTCTGTACAAACCACTCACCCAGAGAGACTTGCCAGCCGACATTCTGTCAGCGGCATATCCCCCCGAAATAGGCATGGGCATCCGCCAAATAAAAATCTACAATGGACATGCAAAAGAAAACCCACATGGTATCGACCGTGAAACAAAGAATCAAGGCTGCCTCAGACATTCCCCGGCTCTCAGTAGGCAACCTGTACGTTGAAGCCTCCATGGAACACGGATGAATGCAGAATTGCCACGGCAAAGTCTCACTGGTTCCACTGTCGATCCTGATGGTTTCCATAGTCATAGCTGGACCAGCCATCTTGGTTGCTGCCTCGTTGCCCATCTCTGGTCCAGTTGCCCCAGTCGTCATCGTCTGCGGCATTTGCATCTCTCCGTTGTGTGACATCTGGTTGATGCCGTTGCCACTCACTGCTGCGTCTCGCTTGCCAGTCGTGCCATTGACTTCCTGCTTCCCAGTTGGCCGTGCTTTCAGCTTCAGCCTGGTTGGATGCAGCAGCTGGAGCAGCTGACTGGCGAGGTGGTGGAGTGCTGCGTGATCTATCGGATCGATAGTTGGCCTTTGTAGCTTTTCGGCGGGCCCGCTCCTTGTTCTTCTCTTCGAGGAAACCCGGCTTCAGGACTTGCTTGGAATACCCATGTGACCAGGATTTCGGGAAATCCTCAAAGGAGGCACCCTCCATTTCAGCCAAGGCTCGCTGATGTCGGGCGGCCCGTTGCCGGCCCTTTTGGCGTTGTTTGGCCTCCGCATAGGTGAAGCCATCCTTGAGATCCTTCTCGAATTTGCCTGGGTGCATTTCGGGCAGTGGACGAGTGCTGAACTCAAAGTTGAGCTCCTCCAGTTTGCTCTTGCACTGCTTCCATGCTTGGGAGCGAAGCGTCTTCCTCATCTCTGGGGGTGCTCGCAGGAAAGCTTCCACTTTCGTCTTGGTCTTCTCGAGCAGCTCCTCATCTTCTGCCTTCTCCTCAGGGGTTCGATCATCGTCATCACCATAGTCGACTTCAGACTCGTCAAACCCAAAGTGGTTCACCTCAGTGGGCGGAGCGCCCTCAGAAGATGATGCTGTTGCGCCTGAACCGAGTCCCATAGCTCTTGCCGGCATGGCATAGTTGGCTGCTGGCAGTGGCGGAGGGGGCTTCTTTGGTGCTGGTGTCTTCTGCATCAGCACTGGAGGAACTGGTTTGGGGGCTAGGGCTTTCGGCGGCTCCTTTGGCTCAGGTACCTGTTCTGGATGAGCTGGCTTTGGAAGTGGCGGCGGAGCCACCTTTGGGGGAGCCGAAAGCATGGGAGGCTTAGGAGGTGGTGGCTTCTTGAATTCGACACCTTTCGTCCCTGCCATTAGCCATGCTTTTGCGCTGGGATGCATTTTTAGAAGCCCCGGATGGTCTCCCAAACATGCCTCCCGGACCTCTTTTGGGACAGAAGTCATAGGTGGAGCACCTTCAATCAGCATCTTGGCCCGTCCTCTGTTCACGAAATCCATGAACTGGAGCAGTCCTTGCATCACGGCTTGATCGAAGGTTTGGAAGACTTGCTCAGACCCGGTCCCCTCCTCAGGGAGCTCTTCCCATGCCGGCTCGTCCCAATCTTCTTCATCGAATTGGTGGTCTTGGAGGATGTCCATGTCATCGTCTTCAGCTTCCACCTCAACATACACATAGTCATCCTCGTTGTCTGGGACGGTGCTCTCCGGTGGAAGGTCATCTTCGACCCAAGGCTCAGACCCGGGCTCCAACCAGCTCGAAGGGGCCCTATATCTGGATGACGTCTCTGACCACCAAGACTCAGACGGAGCGTCTGATCGTTTCACCCCTGCATCTGCCAGTGCGATGCGAGGAACTCGCAAATCGTCCACCATGCCCCCTCCAGTGTATGGTTGGGTCGCCCTGGGGAAATGCTTGGCCGGTGTTGGCGGTGCTCCCTTTGGAATAGCTTGCGTGGGTGCCATTTTTTGCATTGGTGGGGTGGTAGGTCCTCTGGGCCTCCCATCATCATTTCTTGGTGGCGGTGCTTTCCTTGGCTTCGCACTTGAGCTCGGAGTAGGCGGATTCGCGGGCGGTGGAGGTTTCCTTGGCTTTTGCGCGGTCCCTGCTGGAGCAGGAGGGGCTTTGGCTGGGGGCGGTCCTCCTTGCGCTCCTCCTCCAGGATATCCCTGTGAAGGGGGGGCGGTTTACGAGGCACCTCCCGGCCTGCTCCTCCCGAGCTGCTGGCTCCTGCGCCAGCAGGAGTGGAGGACCGATCAAAACTTGATCTGGCTTGTTGGAATGATGAAGCTTGCTTGGCATAGACACCAGCTGGAACAACTGGGGAACGGCCTCGCCCATGCTTTGCAGCAATTTGCTCTTGTCTCCACCTCATGTATTGAGTGGCCATCAGTGGATCCAAGAGGATCTCTCGGACCATTCCCAACATCTTAAACTCCTCTCCTTTGGCTTTCTGGACATCTTCCCCAGCAGTTGCAAAGCGGTCTGGATGAGTCTCACGGGACCTGCGACGATATGCGGTGAGCACCTGAGCTGGAGTCGCACCGGGTGGAACACCCAGGAATTGATAAAGATCTAGTCCTGGGTGAGCTGCTACAAAGAGGTTCGCTGCATTGGCTCGATCTGGAGCTGCTGGCTTTCGTCCCCCATCGGCACTTTCATCAGTAGCATCCATAGCACCAGCCTTCACTGCAAACGATACCTTACGATCTGGTGCCCACGAAAATGCACGATTGGTGTTTGAGCCTCGAGGAGCTCTGGATGTTCGCTTCGTGGCAACTGGGCTGCTAAAAGGGTTTGATCCTCCATGACTGTTATGGAATAACTCATCTTGAGGGACCCCCAATAAACCAGGATAGGACTCTTGGGGTTCAGTTGGAACAACCGCTGGATGCCTACGGACCCCGGGGTCTTTTTGGCTGGGGAGTGTAATGAGGCTGGTACCCAACATTCCTTCTGAAATCCCTTTCTGAGCGGTATGATCTTCATAAAGGTAAGCATGAACAGCATCGGATGACCAACCACCGTACCTCTTAAGCCTTTCTAAGTCCCCAGTACTTGCGAAAAATGCAGTGGCTCCCCCCTTACGTAGTGAGTGTGAACCAGCGAGTTCGCCAGGAAACCCGGCGGCCAATGCAGCTATCTTGATGAAATGGGTGATGCCCTCTCTGTCAAGCCCCGTCCCGTCTTCATAGCGGAACAAAGGCGCCTCGTCTTCAGGGCTGCGCCACCGATGGGGCTGTAGGACCTGTAGCGCGGCTAAGGCTTCAACAGGGCAGAGATCTCCACCGGAGCGGTGGTGTGACCGTGTTTGGCCCCTACCATACTGATCGGTTTTTGAAGATCTAATCTGCACTACGACTTCATCGGCCTTGGCGCCTATGGTAGGCTGCCCATGCGAAAAGAAAGCAACATCAGCTGGGCGGAGCGCCCTATTCATGGGGTCTTCTCCATTGATACTGGGCAAGAGTTCACTGGCCCGCATCATGAAAAACCAACCTGTAAGAAGGGCTCCTTTGATCATGGTTTGATCGACAACTGATAAACCGCTACTTTTCAAGTGCTGGACCAACCATCGCAACATGTTGGGGGTAACAGGGAGCTTTCGTTTTGGGGCGCCTTCCCAACGTTGTAGACCCGCAACCGCTGCCCACAACCGAGGTCGCCCGACCAGTGGATCAGGGTATCCTGCCGCAACATGTGCATAACGAATGGCTGACAACCTTTGTCTGACCCCACCTATGGACCTTCCCATGACTTGATGTAGAAATACTACAAACCGAATCAACCTCTGCTCGTCTTCAGTCCGAGCGGAGCGCTCTTCTCCGTCAAGGAACGGGTGAGTGCCCGAGCTGGCATTGTACAACGCCCATTGCTTCCAGCCTGATGCATAGACCCTGCGAGTTGAATCAGCCAGTTTGGCCAAGACAGCTTCCATGGCTACCTGGTCAAGCTCTGCTGTGCTCCCTCCTCGGGGGCGGGGGGTCCCAGTAGTCCCGCCTCTTTTGGATGCGGGCTGGACCAGCCTCTCCACTTCACTGAGTGCTGGCTTCACGGTGGTGCGTTTGCCTCCGCCTGCTTTCGCCTGGGTTGTCGCTCCCACGAACTCATGAGTGGGTGCCACTGCCACACGTGGCTCTTTCCACGAAGTAAGGAAAAGCTCGGAAGAGGGAGCCTTCGGGTTCCTCCCCCACGCTCGCAGCCAGACCTCTAGTTGCTCGTGGGCTTGGATCTCATCGGGGTCCAGGACTCCTGCCTTCCCATCGGTTCCAGTCAGAGCCTGCATGAGACTCATAGCCACTTGCCAGCCTGGCTCCCGGACTGCAGCTGCTATCATGCGATCCTTTCTCTTCGAGTCGGCGGAACGCCAATCCTCTGCGAGGCCCCCTTGCATTTCCCACACCTCTTCTGGGAGGAGAGGACGGACCAGACCCGTCCCATCTTCCAACAGGGTGCCTCCTGGGATCTTGAGACGCTCACCTGTGAGCCTAGGTCCGCAAGCTGGGCCCCGTGTGCTATGGACCAGGTGCCTGCTGCCGGCGCGCACGTCAACCAAGTGGCCGACTGGTTTTGGAAGCCACTTGTCTCCGGTGGTGATGAGGTTTGGTTCTCTCGTGAAAAGGTAGTCGGGCGGGCATAATCCCTTACCTGACTCCTCTGCGGATCGCAGAGGTAACATCTGACACTCGTTGACTTGTGCAACTCGCCATGCTTGAACTCTCTCCTTTTCGTCGGCCGTTCCTCCAAAAAGCCAAAGTCTTCTGGCCCTGGCAAAGAAGCTGCCGTGGTGTGAAGTCTGATAGTCGACCACTTGTGCCTGACCCCATTGAACCTGAAGCTGCATCAGGCGATTTCGGCTGGTTTCAGAGAGCTCCCTGGGCTGGTCAACGATAAGTCGTCCTCTCCAATCAGTTCTGGCGAGGGTTTTTAGAAGGATGTCTGCCTCCCGCCCTTTTGGGTCTTGAGTGAGAACACAGACGATCCAGTCAGCTTGCGCCTGGCTTGCGATCGATCCTCCGCCCTTGGCCCACCCCAGCTCGAACGTCAGTAGTTCCGACCCTAGCCGGATTTGGTGGAGTCCCCCTTTGAATGGCTTTGGTTCGATCTTGGCGGGGAAGGCATGCACGGTTTGCTGTTCGTTGGCCAGCTGAATGGCTAAAGCTGCACTCGGGCCCTTCTCCCCTGGTAGCTTCAACGTGGGGCGCATGGCTTCTCGCAGGAGTCCTTCCCAGTCCTCATTGAGCTCGAGGCGGGTCCAGCCACTGCTTTCCATTTCCGCATGGACCTTGTCTTCATCCTCCCTTGTCAGCCAGTCGTTGAGAGTATTGTGGTAGGTACGGACGTACGCTCCATCGACAGTGAAGCTATTCTCCGCTTCGAGCCGCTGGAGCAGCAGCAAGAGCGCCCTCACGTATCTGTTTGAAGCGCGCCTGGTACGTAACCATGCTTTGACATTCATGTTGTCAGTCACATAAAGGATCAGTTGCCCCTGCCAGGTTTCCTTCCGCGCCGCTGCCAGGACAATGAACGTCAGAAGCTCCATCACTCCGATGATCTCCAAGTGATCTCCGCCCCCTACGACTTCGCTCACGGCCCTGACGTATCTGCTGCTGTCCGCCATGTGGTAGCATCTATCCTTCCAATCAGTGCTTCCGAGCCTGGTTAGCGTGGCATCTCCTCCAACGAATCGGGCCGAAGCGGCCATGCCAGGGAGTGCGAGCCTTTCCCTTAACGGCAGGAGCTTGCCGAAAGCTGCTCTGAAACTGGTTCCCCAAGGCTTTTCCATCTGGAGGCGAACCCAATCGAGCGCATCCCAGAACTCAGCCCAGGCAGCCTCTAGCTCACTCTCGGAGCCCCTGGGTTTCACCCATTCATGATCGCCTACTTCCTGCTGCAGGAGCCTGTAAAAGACTGGTAGATAGGGTGCAATCTCCGGGAGCGGAGACGGCCCAATACTGCGCTGTCCCTGCCAGTTCTCGGAGCAGCTTGGTACGAACTCGTTGGCACCCCCTTTGAAGCTGAGGCTCTCTTAGGAGATACTTCGCCTTTATTCGCTTCGGTTCCGGGAGGACCACAACCTGTTCTTCAAAGTCTAGGTGGAGGCCCCACAGGAGCTGGGATTTTGCCGGGGTGCCTTCTTCGGCGAGCTTGTCGAGATTGATGGCTCCAGGGCCCCAGACTGATACCATAGCTGCATCCATTGCTGACAGGGATCTCTGGATCCTATTCCCCACTAGTGGCTCTACCACCACGCCGTCATCCATCAGCCATCGGCTGGTGTAGGGAACCACATCGTTGAATTGAGGATGGCATGGTCGGAACGACCCGTGGTGCTTTTGGGCTGCGGTGGCCCATATCACGAACTCCCCTGGCGCTCCTACCCAACCGAACACCATCACCAGACTCAGGATCAGCACACCTAGAATCCTCGTGCAGAATTCAGGGACATCGCCCGGCTTGAGGAAGTGCCACTTGAAAGCCCTTGGCACATCGCGTTTCGCACACCTCTGTGGAACCTTCGGGTGTCGCACCCTCCACCAAAGGCTTTGCCTGACCACTGCTCTGTGCCTAGGCTGAGCGGCGGGTGGGTGGTCGTATTTGGAGCCCGAAGCATTCCTGGCTCGCATATCGTTGATGGGACGACCTTCCGCTGAGATGGTTCTGTCGGGGTTTTGCTTGGGCACTCGGCCGAGAGGGCTCTCGGCCACCTTGCTCTCGGTCAGTATCTGGTCGATTTGCCGATTTTCTTCTTGGTCCTCGGTCTCTGTGGAACACAGAAGTACCGCCCCATAAGATGCGTCTTTCCATGCCTTCTGCAGCATCTCTTCCTCGTGCCCCCTGACGGAGCCGTGGTTTCGGGCCTTCTCTCTCTTGGGGGTACTCTTAGCTCGGCTGGGCACGCCCTTGAGCACACAGTCTTTCAAGTATTGCTCGTGTAGGGGGCTGAGCCCTTTCAATGCTCCTTCCTTTGCCTTCTGGAAGTGTTCCCCATACTTCCTCAGCCTCGCTTTGTTGACTAATTCAGCTGCTCTTGGCACCGAGCCGGCGGCCCTCAACAACGCATTTCCTGCCTCTGTGGCTTTTCTCACTGCCTCCTTGCTGTAAGCACTCTGGCATACCTCCAAGTATTTCTCAGCAGTGCTTTGGCCATTGGCGTCGTCGACGCTGCCTGCCCTTGTGCCCTGCCCCTCAGCTTGCTTTTCGGGATCGGAAACAGACCCCTCCCCCCCACAAAACGTACAAGGGTAGACCATCTGTTGGAGTTCGCATCCTGAACAGGTGTAGCCATGTGGGAGGCCTGGTCCATCCGCTTGGCCAGCAACCACCGGTGCCAAATGTTGGCCAAGGGTTCGCTCCAACGTATTGGCTGGATCAGCCGGCCAAGGGGGTGCGTCCAGTTCGGTCCAACATTTCTCTAGGGCTTTGAGCACGCTGTGCTCTTGCAGATATGTTGTCCAGCTCCATTCTTCAAAGGCTGCTCGGACTACCAGACCCCAGGCTGCACACAAAGCTGGTGCGTATTGCTGTGCCAGTCGAGTGAGAGGTACTTGAGGAATTGGACTGGGTCCCTTCAAGGGTGCGTGCTGGTGAGTCGGGCCGACTCCTGGGCACTGCCTACCAAGAAATAACAAGGCCCATGGGTAGAGTTCTGGGGAGACCAGCCACCAAGAATGCTTGCGATGAAACAGGCCCTCCTCAGTCTCAGGCGGTCCCAGACCCCAAGCGCACATAGCCATAGAGACAATTTTTGCGCCGGTGCGGCGGCGGAGCCTCTGCATACAAGGCAGGTCCCATATCTTGGGGTAGCGGCCCGACGGCGCGCTACTCTCCAATGCGAAGACTCTTCCGTTGTCCGCCAGAACCGTACAAAGTTCGGCTGCGAACTCTGCGTCTTCATTTCCTTGAACTTCAGAGGGACGAGTGCCGTCGCCTTGTGGGCGTTGCCAGGTCCTGCTGCCACCGTTCTTCAGCTGGTGGTCGCAGAAGGAAGTACAAACGATTCCAAGCTGCCAAGTGTTGGGGACATCGGGCCCTGGTGGAGCACCAGCTAATCCCAGCAATCGTTCTCGGACCTTCGGGTCACGGGTATCATGCTGCGGCTTAAAGCCCTTTTGCTCGATCGGGTCCTCATAGTATTCAATGGGTTCTCCGCACGGGATCCCCTGGTACTGAAGCCCCTTGGTCCATCCTGCCCATCCAGCGTACACCTCTTGACCAATTGGCCCATAGGCGAAGGCGAGCCTTTTTCGCAGAGGCACACCGCTGTTTTGAAGAGCCTGTGGATCATCCTGCAAGCAGGACTCAAATGAAGCCGGTGGCAACGGGAATCCTTCACCAACACGATAAGGCCTTTGCTGCTGTTGCTGGCATCTTGTGCAGGCGGGGGACTTGGCTGGAACCATCTGATCCTCCACTTTGCTCTGGTCCAAGATCACCCTCCAATGTTCAACCTGAAGTTCCCTGGTGACCTTGTCTGCAGTCCTCAGGTGATCCAACAGCTGCTGGGGCTGTTGTGGAAGAAGCAGGCGCATATGCCCCCGGTGGATGGTAACGAAAACTAGCTTCCCATTGCCAGCATCATCTCCGTGGAGCAAGTCGACCTCCAACCGACCAAAATAGGAAATCCTGAGGACCGCCAACGTGTATCATTGCAGCATGGATCCTGTGAGGGTTTGCAAGGCGCGGTAGTCTTTCTCGTGGTGAGGATAGAGGCAATCATGGATGTTTTGACGCAAGAAGTGCTCGCCCTCAGGTATCCACGCGGGCGGATCGCCAAGGTGTGCGTGAGCCTCCACTGCTTCATCCCAGAGATGTTTTCTCAACTGGTTGGCTCTGGCTACGGCCTCTCGTAGTTCTACAAATGGATCATCGGCCAACGCTAACCCGACACCCACATGAAGAGGCAGGCATTGGCGCTCTTCTTCCAACTGCCCGTTTTGCAGTGGGACCTCGCTGTCTTTTGCGTTCAAGCGATCCTGGTAGTCACGGACCGTGACTGAGCCGATATGCGACAAGTTTCCTTGAAAGTTCAACAGGCCATGACCAATACCCTCGTCCCATGTGATGGGCGTAAATTCGACATCCGCTTGGTGACCCGCTTTTGGCTCGTGCTTGAGGAGCTCAAGTTGACGTCCGGCTTCCTTAGAGAGCGCGGGATGTCCATGTTCTGCCGCATCTTCGAGACACCGGTTCAGCTCCAGTTCATATCCTTCATCTTGTGCTGCCATCATGCGTGCAATCACATGGGACCTAAGATAATCCGTGGGCGACTCCAAGGCCGCCAGAACCCCTTTCTCCTCCAGCGACTTCCATCGTTTCAGCCTTTCCCGCTCCTCTTGGCTCTGGTCATCCCAAGCCGGAGCGGCTTCTTGCTCAGTGGGTTGTGAGGGTATTCGCAGCCAGCCCTCATCTGGGCCCTGAACCGCCTCTTGCAAGTCAGTCTCGAGATGGGTCAGAGGGATATCATAGTCTTCAGGTGCGACTCACTGGGTGTTCCCAACCTTGTCTTCTTCAGCTTTACCCTCAGCTTCCTTCCCAGCTTTGGCCTTTGGCTTGGGCTTGACTTTCGCTTTCTTGCTAGGTTGGATCTTGTCGGCCTTATCCGCCGCTGCCTGGGTTCGCAGCTGAGCGACCCTTCCGTCGACCTCTTTGGGATCGATTTTCGGCCCACCTTTGAGTCCTCCTCTTCGAATGACCTGCATGGCAACTGTGTAGTCAAGTTTGACCTGCATGGCAACTGTGTAGTCAAGTTTGGCCAATCCCGGCAAAGGCTCGTGCGCGTGCTGGCACTTGTCGCCTCTTGTGCATCCCATGTGTGTGGCCGCATCCCAGCAGATAGGTTTGTTGGTCTTGGGATCCTTAGGTGCGTGCTCCACGGACCGTGAAGCTTCTCCTTGTGTAAGCCGTTTTCCAGCTGGGTAGGCTGATTTCATGCTGCCGCCCGCATATCCATCGGCCTCTTTGTCTTTCAGGTTAAGCTTTGGGGCTTTCCCTGTCCTTGGCTCTTCATCTTCAGCTGGACCAGCTGTCTTCTTCTGCTTGAGGTTGTGGTCGTGCAGCTGCTTGTGGAGCAGCCTCGACATTTGCCTTTGCTGCCTGGGTACCACAACTGTCTGGTAATATCCGTTCGGGTCGCCCAGATCCCATATGCTTGGAAACTGGAAGTTTGCTTGCCCATCCGCTCCCGGCGCCAAAGCTAGCAGCTTCAGGTCTTCAAGCCGTGGATTTTCGGTCCCCAGCAGAGAGCAGAGTTTCCTTCTGCTTTCTCGCAGTTCTTCGCACCAAGCCGCGACAAGTTCCTCAAAGAGCTCGATGCAGTAGGCAGCTGGGAAGGCATGCTCATCTTTTTTATGGGCCTCCTTCAGGGCTTGGAGACAATCGAGCCTTTCTTGGATATGCTCTGTACCATAGCAGGATCCAAACACGCGAACTGAGTTTTCCGCGTACCTGAGCCAAGTGTTGAAGACTCCTGGTGGTCTCATGCGATTTTCGGTCTTGTTGTCGGAGGACGGATTCCAACTGTCCAACTGCTCGGACCGAGCGGTAACGCAGTCACTTGCGTGCAAGGTATAGGTGTCTTTGCCACCCCACCACAGACCAGCGATGCCAAGTAGGACCCTGTTGGTCATCAGCACCGGCCATTTGATCAAGTGCAGCATATGGCGAGCGTGATTTGCCACCCTTTTCCCCGCGTGGAAAAGTTCCTTCCCGTACACTCCCGGTGCGAGTTCAACGGTCAGGGTACCACAGCCTCGTGCCAGGAAGATGTCCATCTTCTCCGCCTCTTTGATAGAACTCAAGGTCCCTTTCGTGAGGTTTTTGTCGTTATCCTGTGCTCTTCTCAGACCGTCGATGGCGTGAATGATGCGGTCTGCGCTCTGGACTTGTGTGCTGTCTCCGAGGGCTTCTCCGAACGTGGCTCCTGCTCTGCCCTCCGGCATCTGCTCCGATGCTGGTTTCACGAGACTGTTTCGACCGCCTGACCCCTTGGGAAAGAGCGACAATCCACCTCTCTGGACCGGGGAGATTGAGGAGGAGCTCCTCGGCAGAAGTGGATTCGCCGGCCGGGGGACTGCTGGCTTTACGGTCACTCCTCCTGGCATAGTTGCCGTCACGGGTCTTCTTGCAAACTCCATTTCGCTTTGGTCGGCTCCCAATCCTGGTGGTGTCGTTGGCTTCGAGTAGCTAAGGCGGTGATTCCTCGCATACATCGACTGAGCCAGTTGCTCATGATCTAGGTCGAAGGCAGTGGCCACGGTCTGCAACACTTCGGAATCTATCTCTCCCTCAATGTGCTGGTCAAGAGCTCTTCGAGCCGCCTCCATTCTTCCCTAGCGATCTCAATCATCTAGGTCTGGGAAGGGTGGAATCGCCGGTCCCGCACCCTCTTCCAGCTCGACTTTCGGCTTTTGCGGTGTCATAAA